TAAATCATAAGTATTACTTTTAGTTAAAAATTAGATAAGGATATTCAAGTAGATTTCTTTGTATTATGAGAGAAATTGAATTATATTTTGTATATATAAGATCCCATATATTATTTAGCAAAAATATTTTTAAATATACATTTACCATACCTATGTATAATTGTTAAAAAGCCTGTAGAAAAGTTAGAGTATAGTAAAATTAAATAAATTTTTTAAATAAATTTCTTACTTCTCTATTTTGTGTATTAAAAATCTATTATACAAGCAAATTACTATTAAAATATAATACTTGCATAGCATTAATAATGCTGGTATAACATTAAAATACACGCAATTATAATTTTTAATGTTCATAACTCAATTCGAAATATTTGATTTTTGCATATATTACGGGGCGATAACTTTAAAATAGAAATAAAAAAAATTTTCCCTCAATATTTCGATATAAATTTCGTGTACATTATTTGAACAAATGTCAGTCAATAATATATGTAATTGGAAAACTTCCAAATTTAATATATAATTTAAAAAAAAATATTCTTAAAAACTCGTCTCTAAGTACATACACATTGTATTACAAAGTTTTGTAGAAAAAAAAAAAGATTTTTATATAAAAAAGAAAAATTAAGTATGCGAAAAGAATAATTATGTATTATATATATGTATATAACACTGGTATAACAGATAGAACAAATGCTTATAGAAAATGTATACATCCCCACATTTTCATTATTATTGTTATATACTATTATTGTATATTAGTTTATCGCTGTCAAATAACTTGACATTTTTAACAAAATTTCATAATATTTCAAACTTTTTTTTTATTTTTGTTTTTATAATCAAAATATAATAATGTTTTTGTCACATCTGTCTTAAATATAATGATGAAATTCATTATTAAAGATAAAATTTATTGTAGTTTCTGTTTTTTGTTTTTTTTTGTACAATTTTGAATCTATTGTTTTCATATATAAATTAGAAGATCCTTGAACTATTGTCCTTGCTTTCTTTCATGCAATTTCGAAAAAAATGCAAAAAATATATATGTAGATTGAATTTTATATACATACATACATACATAGATATAATATTTGTGTATAGATTTGTGTTATAGCCTTCAATTGAAAAATGGTTAACAAATTAAAAAAATATATGTGAATATACAATATGGTTGCCAGCTAAAGAAGACACCTTAGATAATATTAATCTTTTGAAACATATTGCCTTCTTCACTTAGAATTTCAATAGTATTGATTATATATTTTCTTGATGTCAGCTTACGGAATTTAAAAACATGTTCGACAGATAACGTAAGTTTTTTTTTCGCAATAACAGAGGCCTTAACTGCTGCAATAATACTGTGAATAAGACTGTGCAAAATTAGCTATTATTTTAATAATTTTTCAAAGTAAATTTTGTCAATTATTAAGTTTTTGGATTTTTAGAGCTTTTACATAAAAAATAAATAAATATTGCTTAGAAATATTTGTGAAAGTATTCATGAAAAATGAGAATTGGAAGAGGAAAAACACTGAACTTCAAATGAAAACCGGTTAATTTAGAGCATGTTTTAAAAAGGTGTAGATTGTAGTAATAAGAGTCAAATTTCGACCCGGGTAGGAAGACGTTTTAATAAAAAAAAAATCGTTTTCTTAATTCTACCAAGATTCAGCATCAAATTAAAAAAGAATTAAATTTAGAAATGTCTATCAGAATTAGTTAGAAGAATTTTATTAGACGCCGGACTCAGAGGGTGTATTGTCGAGAAGAAAGCTCTAGTGTCTTTAACAAATAGAAAACGTCGTTTAGAATTTAATATCAAAAATACATAAAGAAAAACCACTTTCATATTGGAAAAATATATTTATTATGAACTGATGAAAGTAAGTTTAATAGAGTGTGTAGCGATGGTAAATGCTACTTTCGGAAAAACTACACTATGAGGACAATTAAACACGGTCGGGAACATTAAAATTTACTATTTTAATTTTTAACAATTGCTATGTCTTATATAGTTGCCCACTAGTGTATATAATAATAATAATATCAATTTATTTTTCAACCAACAAAATACAAATACATTTATACAAAAAAAAAAATTCTTATTTTATATTGAAAAAAATATTGTACTATTTACCAATTTAAACCATATTTTAAAGAACGAAATTTTTATTATATAGTTATAGGTACTAAATATTTAAATAAAACATACTAATCAATTTATTGGAGCAAATTCTAAATTAAATTTTGAATAGTTCTCCAATATATGCATGAAAAAATAAATTTGATTGCTCCCATATAGTTCTCTTTTGTTCTAATACCAATTCTTTTATTTAAAAACATAAAATAAATATGGTATTGCGTTAATTAAGAATAAAACTAAAAAAAAAATTCTTTTCTTCCACATAATATAAATGTACCTATTATCGAAACTATTTGGAATATGTGTGTATAGCATAGTCTACATATTATTTTTTAACGACCCATTATTTTACAAATTCTTATAAGTTATTCATTTAAATTAGAGCTACTCTTTATTCTATGAAAAGAATTGAATTTTTTCTTTTATATTATAAATTTAATCATTCAATATTAGAAAAAAATTTTCATTCAATTACAAAAAATATTTCGCATCCAATATTTTATTAGTTTGCTCGCAAAACTATTAAAACAATTTTTCACTACATGAAATTAAATTCAAATCAAATCAAATCAAAATTATTAATATAAATCGCGTGCTACAAAAAAAAAATTCAAACTATTTACATTCATCATTTTCAATTTAACCAAATAAAATATAAATTATTTTAAGTTCTTCCTTTCTCTTCCATAAAGTTTCTATATCAAATATTTTTATATAATATTTATGTATTATTGCGCTTTAATGTATTTAATACATAATATATGCGCATATGTATTGGCGCCAATTTAAAAAGCATGCGCCATACTCTCATTTTTTAAATCGGTTTAAAAACAAATGAGCCCATAATTGAAATAATGACGATTTTTTTGCAAAAAAAAAAAAAATAGAAAAACAAATAATTTTTTTTCTTTTCAATTTTTCCATAAATGTACAAGTAAACAGCGCGCATCAATAATCATATTATATTTTCGTTTAGAAATAAAGTTTCTTAGTAAAATAATCTATTAATTTTTAAATATGATAAAGTTATGCCTCATAGTTGTAATTTTAGTGTTCTTGAATTCTTTGTTCGGCAATTTTGTGTGACTATTGTTTATATGATACCTTAAAAGCCTGGATTCAACTGCAATGCCAAATTTTTCGGAACGCCGGTAAAACTTTATCTTTTCAGTGAGTGTATTATCAGTTTAGTGATAGTATTATAAAAGTAAAACTATTTGTATTGATAGTACCTACATACATAAAAATTTCACTGTGCGATAGACGAAATCTCGGCGTACCTGGAAATCGTGTTCTGAAAATCATTTCGTGTATCAAAATTATTCTTCAATGTCCCATACATATGATCTCGAGGCACATATGTATATTGCATCCAATTTTGCTTTTACTCTTTAAATTTTTAAAATAGCATATTTCACTAATGTCTTGATATTCGTACGGTACAACAGAAACTTTGCAATTTTTTTGATTAATTGATTAAAATAAAAGCAAAAGATAGTTAATGCAATCGGGGCCTGGATTTCAGTTTCCGCCGCCCCCCCCCCCCCCCCCCCTGCCACTATTTTTTACACAAAATTCTATTAAAATTAACAATTTTTCTACTCACGACTTTGGACAAAAAAAAACTCTCTCATTTCTAAGTATCTAAAGAGAGTGTTTAATGGGTGATTTTTGTAAATAAAAAAAATTATTCAACTGTCGTATATTCTAAACATTAAAATCTGATTTCAATACATAGTATACACATAACTCTCAGTAAACAGCATAATTAATTAAGCTCTTCCTATTATATTCCTATACGATTTTTATTCTCATATAAACAATATTAAAACAAAATAACAAAGTGTCCACTTATTTAATTTTTGCCATATTCATATATGTTTATACGTTTATAGAACTATACAGACATCTCTAAACTATAATATAAATCACTTTGTGAAGTAAAAACTCGTGATATAAAGCTTTTTATTCTCTATATATAAATGTAATTTATTTTTTATTGTGATTTTTTGCACTACCTTAAATTTTTTTCAATGTAAAAAAAATTGCTAAAATTGATCAATTAAAGGTATTACAAATCGGAAATATACAAAAGTTTTTTGATGTGCTGTAGATAAGGGGTAGTGTAAGCGAATCTTGATTTTATTATACGTACACATATGAGTATGAATGTTATGTGTACCCATATTTGTATGAATATACAGAGAACAATAAAATTGTGTTTCAATTTTTTTAAATAAATTGGCGCTAACTAAACAATGTCGTATCAAATCAAAAAAATCTCAGAATTAGAAAGAAAATTTCAACAAAATGTCTATAACTAACTAGAACTAGTTTTTCCTTGCTTTTTTCAATTTTTTTTATTATACTGTTATTAATTGATCGAAACTAATTTTCAATGAAATCGTAATGATTTTATGTTTAAAGATCGCATTTCCATTGTCTTATTGGAAACGTAGTTTAAAAAATTTTTTAATTTCATTTTCCCTCTTTATAAAAGAAAGAGAGAGAAAAATATGAAAATAAAATTTAAAAATTGTTGAAGCGTGCAACAAAAAAAAAAATGCATTATAGAAAATAAATTTGACATTGCAAAGCTTTCATTGTCAAAGTTGTCAAATTGTCAAATTAAAAACTAATAAGAGTAAAATGCATCGCAAAATTGTTATTTTTTTATTGGTTTTTCAAATTATAAATGAAGAAAATGAAGTATAAAAATTTTTAAATATTTTATTTATTTTTTCTAATTAATTTTAATAATATTGACATAGACATTTATTGATATAATTAATTTTTATGTATGTGTGTGTGTTTTTTGTTTTTGATTGTATACCTTTTTTTTGTTTTATTTCAGGTGCATTCCTAATACCATTCGCTGTTATGTTAATATTAGAAGGGATACCATTATTCTTAATTGAATTAGGTATAGGTCAAAGAATGAGACTGGGATCGTTAGGTGTCTGGAACACTATACATCCATGGCTTGGTGGTATCGGGATATCATCATGCATAGTAACTTTATTTGTAGCATTATACTACAATGTCATTATAACTTGGTGTCTATACTATTTTATAAATAGTTTTCGGGTAAGTTTAAAAAAAAAAAATAATAATTGGCGTGTCTATTTATCTATATAATAATATGTTGAATATGAAATTTTTATAATAAATATAGTATCCATTACCGTGGAGTGAATGTCCTTTCACAAATACAACACATGTTGTTGAAGAATGTGCAAGATCATCAGAAACAGCATATTTTTGGTATCGTTCAACATTAGAGGTGGCGCCTACAATTGATGAACCAGGTGGCTTAAAATGGTGGATTGTTTTGTGCCTCTTAATATCCTGGACGGTTGTGTTTTTCATTGTGATGAAAGGCATACAAAGTTCAGGAAAAGTTGTCTATTTTACCTCACTTTTTCCTTATATTGTTTTGACAATATTTTTCATCAGAGGCATAACATTACCTGGAGCAAGTGCTGGTTTGGCTCACATGTATACACCAAAACTGGATAAACTATTAACAGCAAAGGTTTGGCTTGATGCAGCAACACAGGTATTCTATTCATTTGGATTAGCATTTGGATCATTGATTGCTTTTGGTAGTTATAATACACCGAAAAATAATTGTGTACGTGATGTTTTACTGGTGTCATTTTGTAATGCAGTCACTGCTATTTATGCAAGCATTGTGATATTTGCAATTTTAGGATTTAAGGCAACATTAAATGTTGAAAGATGTCATGAAGTGTAAGTAATCAATTTTTATAATAATAATAATGTGTTTGTGTAGCCAAATGGATTTAGGATAAACACCATATTTCACTTGTTATATTTAATCATCATTATCCTAAAAAAAATTTAATAACAATTGATAATGTTAGAATTTTGAAAAAAAAAAAAACCAAAGGTACATTTAATTGAAAACAAATTTTTAATTAAATTCCTTGTGTTGTTAAAATTTTTTCATTAAAAACCCTTTTATTTTTTTCTTATAATTTTTATCATTTCTAATTTTTTTTTTTTTATTTTTTTTTTTTTGTGTTTTTAATTTAAATTTATTTATTTTTTCTTGTTTTATTTTGAAATTTGCATTTATTATAAATTTAATTTAATTTTTTTATTTTTAAACAGATTTTTTATGTGTTTTGAGTACATTTTGTTTAAATTAAAGACTTAGCAATTTTTTAACTGTAGATCAGTATTGCAGAACATCTTGATTTCGGAGTATTGATACTCTCTTTTACAATTTAATTCAGTTCAAACGAGCTCTTTCTTATTAGTCTTGTGCATAAATTTCAGAAAATGAAAATACAAATTCTAATAATTGTGAAGTTTTCTCTTGAAACTATAAAATTACACAAAATTCTATGTTGTTTGATACCTTTAACATGTACCAAAGGGCAAGTATAAGAAAAAGACAGTCTAATTTGACATATGAATTTATGTGTCACACATATACATTTAAACAATAATTTTCCACATTTAATTGTTTATACTCCAATAATAGCCAATATTATGAATACAAACATGTACTTCTTTCTTAAAAATTTTCCATACAAAGTAAAAGAGATTAACAATGCAACAATAATAATAATTATGTTAAAACTCCTCAATCTTAACTCTTATAAATATGTTTTTTTTTATAAAAAAAACGCTTCTACACTAATTTTTAATCATTTTGCTTTCATATCACCCCCATCTGTTTTTCATATATCTAACCTTGATTTTCAATTTATAATAATATCAGCAATAATTGATCGAATTTCGCCTATACAAGATTTAAATTAATTTTTTATTGAAAATAATATTTGACTAATAAAATATTAGATATTTGTTATATTTATTTCATTTGAAAGAGAAAAATACAAGTACAAGTTAATTGTTTTTCAATTCTTAGTTAATATTCTATAGTTGACATAAAAGATGAAATAAAAGATTCTAAAATTACAGATAGAGTCAAAGATTCCTTGAAATGACAAAAATTTGCCAAATAATAAAAATAAAGAAAATTAAATATTACTCATGGTAACTCAATAAACATCATACTTTGAGCCGTCATACAAAAAATTACGTGATTTTAAGAAAACTACTAAATTGTTTTCAAAATAATATGTACCGTATTAATGATTGCTCAACCATAATTTGAAACTGTAATACAGGTTATGTAATTAAGGCAATTTAACATTTTCATTATCTAATTAAGGCAATTTAACTTTCAATACCGAATTTTTTGTCAAATAAAAATTAACATTTTATAGTTTGAAAAATTCATTTAAGAGAAAATTTAAGATTTTTCAAAGATTTAGGATCTCTAATATTCGGTTACGAGAAAATTTTGTTCAATAATTTCTGATTAACACTATTTGTTCATTAAATTAAATATAAATATTATGTACAACATTAGATATTATTTACATAAAATCTTAATTATGTTACTTAGAAGGGCCAGTAATTGTTTATAAAGGTTTTAAAAAAATTAGTCTTAAAGCACAGAATTTAATAGATTATATAATATCAGTAATTTCTAATATCAACACATTTTGTTGTTGGAGTTCCAAATGCATTAATATTAATTATATTTTGAACTATAAGTTTGAACAACAGTAGGACTTGCCGAGCAAAAGAGTAAGGATAAAAGAATTTTTAAGACATAATTTTATATAAAAAACAAAATCAAATAAAGAGATTTTGAGAGTAATGGAGAAATATTTTGTGAGAAATGAAATTGAAAAATGCAGTTGCTTTAAATCAACTTTTACGTATGAGATAAGTGAAAGTTAATCTTTAATAATTTTAAGAACTTCAATAATGAAAAACTATTTTTAGAGAATTTTTATATTTTTGCATATAAATTTTTGTATAACAGTATTTTACGTCATCCCTCAATATTTGAAATTGATCTTAATTTAATAATCAATAAAACTGCATTTTTGTGAATCATTCGCAATAACGAAAAATAGAGTAATGGTTTGGTAATAATGAGAATTCAAATTAATTTATAATTATAAAAATTGCATATTTATGGGGGCATTGGATTGCATATTGAGTGCAAAAGGGAATAAAAAGAGGATAAGTTGTTCATTTTTTAAAACAAACATCTAGAAAAGATTGATTTTTGTTAAACGATCAAAAAAAAAATCATATTGCCTATACAGAGGGCTCCCTTTAGAGAATAGTTATATACAGAGCCTTTAGAGAATAGTATTTATGTGTTGTCTATATTTTTAGTACAAATTGAGTATAAATTTCTTTAATTGAAGACAAAATTTTAACTAAAAATTTTAACTAATAGAAATATAAAATTATTTATATTTGAAAAAATATTTTTTTTTTATTACATATACATTTACATAAATATTTTATTTAAATAGAATAATTATTTTTCTATTTAAAAATCAATATCCAAAATATTAGTTAATTATATTTCAGGCTGAAAAGGCATACACATAACTCGACTATATAGATATCAGTCATATCAACTTGGAAGTCGATGTAATTTTCATCGAGTGTTATACAAAATTAATTTAAAAATGAATTACGAAATTCGAAACAACATTAACGATAACATTATAACTATATTTTTCACTATTTTTTAATTTAAATTTTTCTTTTTTGATTTTATTTTAATTATTTTTATAATAAAAAAAACAAAAAAAAAAAAATGTAATAATTTATAACATTTTTAAAATTCATTTTTAAGGAGCAAAATTAATAATATAAATAAAAAAAAAAAAAAATAACATAAAATTTACGCTCTGTCATTATTAAATCGTTATGAAATGTACATAAAACAGAAAGGTAAAGTACAGAAAAATATTATTTTTAATAGAATTATTTCAATATTTCAGAAATAAAGAAATTTTATTTAATCATAATATGACTAGCACAAGCAATATAACAAATGCCGAATTGGAAACCTATATGTCCGGTATTAATGATACTTTATTTAAAGAATGGAAATTTGAAACGTGCAGTTTATCAGAACAATTGGATGATGTAAGAAAATTAAATGGATTCTTTTTTTTAATTTATCGAACAAATCCGAAAATATAGTTACGCTACGATTGATCTAAAACCGAAACTCATAGATTTTATGGCTTGAAATATAAAATTTTGTGCACAATATATAATTATGCACTTAATCAAAATTGATTTTCTTTGCATTATCTATAATTGACTATATTATCAAGTTACAGTTCGGATTTTTTCAAAATAAATATTACATATTTTACGAAATTTTAAATTATATTAAAATTTTAAAATTATATTAGGCGGCCGAGGGTACTGGTTTAGCATTTATTGTATTTACACAAGCAATTGTTGAATTACCTGGTTCACCATTTTGGGCAGTATTATTCTTTACAATGTTATTATCATTAGGTTTGGGTTCACAAATTGGTATATTAGAGGGAATGTTATGTACATTATTTGATATTGATATTGTAAAAAGAGTAAAAAAACAACATGTTACATTAGTTGTTTGTATATTCTGTTTCTTCGTTGGATTATTATTCTGTAGCGGAGCTGGTGAATATTGGTTACAAATGTTTGATTCATTTGCTGGTACAATCGGTTTAGTTGTAGTTGCATTAATGGAAATGATTGCTGTTATTTATATATATGGTCATGAAAAGTGAGTTTTAAATTTAATTTTTTTTTCTTGTAATTTGTTAATGTTGTTGTATTTTTTTTTTTTTTGAATAGATTCACCGAAGATATATATCAAATGACTGGTATTCGACCTGGATTATATTGGCAAATCACTTGGAGATATGTTGGACCAGCTATTACATTTGCAATATTAGCTTCATCAATTATTAGTATGATAATTAAAAATCCAACATATGGAGCATGGAGTAAAGACGAGGTTTGATTTAATAATATTTTTTTTTTGTTTGTTAAATTTGCATTCCTTTTAAGGGTATGTAATATTCTAACATAATCCTATATAGGGTTAATTACATTTACCATATTTTACCTATGAATTTCTATTAAATTTAAAAATTAAAAATTTTAAGTTAGTTCATTAAGTGTAATTGAGTTTAGAGCATTACATGCCTTTAAATACAAAGCGAATTTCATTCAATTTTTCAATTTAAGTTTAAAATAAATTGTAATATTAATAATTATATTTTTACAGGGTAAAACTGAAGCTACTCCATATCCGAATTGGGTTTTAGGAATTGCATTATCTATGATATTGGCTGGTATATTACCAATACCAATTGTCTTCCTATTAAGAAGATTCCAAATTTTGGGTGTTGATTTAGATATTCATCAAGGTTCAATACGTCGTAATGAAACAACTGCATCAACTAAAGAAATGATTGATGGAGATGATGATGTAAGTTTATTATTTATAATTTTATTATTTTTTTTTTTTATAATTTTTTTATTATAATAAGTATAATTCATTTATCCCCGTATTATGCATCATAGCAATAAAAAAAAACAACAAATTAATTTTTATATAATTGAAAAGAAAAATTATTAAAAATGTTATTATTATAGACACAAACCAAGCTTTTATTTGACTTTTTGTATCTGTCATTTTTATATTGAAATGTCATGTATAACTGATGTATAATAGGCGGGTAATCGAATTTATTTTAGTTTTTAGTTTCATTATTCAATTTAAGACTATATTTATTGTTTTTTTTAATAATTTATTACATAATAAGAATATATTTATTTTTAAGTTTTTTTATTGTATAAATTCAAATTTAAATCCTATATAAATTATGGCACATCGTATATTTATTATTCCAATATCATTTTTTATTTAGTTTTTTGTATTTCGTTTGTAATATTAATAATAATTTTATGTTTTATTTGTTTTATTTGTGATTATATTAAAATTGTTTTCTTTCTTTAACAATTAATATATATATATGCTTTATTTTTTTGTTATATTGTATAACATAATATTTGTTTTAATATTGTATCATAAAAAAAAACAATTTTTTTGCTTTATTCACACATATTTAAAAAAATTTTATAATTTATTCATTTTGTTTTGTTTATAATATAGTTTTTGTTTTTATGGTAAATACACTTTTTCTTTGAACTTTAGCTATTTTTACTAACATAAAAATTATTTTATTTTCTTTAATTGTTTCTTAATCTCAAAAAAACAAATAAATGAATTATATATATATATATTAAAATCGCAACAAATATGAATTAAACGAAACAAAAAAAAATAAATATATATATACATACATACATGTAATCCATGCTTAATATGAAATGCTCGAAAAATAAAAAAACCAAATTAACAAAACCAAAAAAAAAAAACAAAAAACGATCGATAATCGAATCAAAAATATAGATTATGAGCCCAGATTTGGAACCGCAAAATTCATTAGCACCACCTGGAACAAGATTTACAATTGGAGATTTCGATGTAAGTTTTAGGACTTAAAACAAATATTTACATTTCAATTAATATACAAAATATATTTGAAGAAAAACTATAAAAAAAAAACAATTAAATTGGTTACATAATCGGTTAATTTTTATATTTTGTTTTTCTTTTTTTCCTTTTGTTATTTTCTTTCTTAATTAAATATAGATGTAAAAATTTCTATAGTAATTTGTAACGACAACAATTTTAATTCATTAATCAATTAAATTAAATTTAATTTTAAAAAATAATATGAACTTAAAAATATACGATATTAAAAAATGTGATTTTAAAAAGAGAACTGAGAATAAATTCGATAATTGTTATATAAGAGAATTGAAATGAACAACTACATACATATACATATAAATAAATATATGCGGTAAAAAAATCGATACAAATTACTATTAATATTCGATTTAATTTTCTATACCTATACTTTTCTGTTCGAAATTATTTAAAAAAAAAAAATTATTTACAAAACAAAAAATGAAACAAAATTATTTTAATGCATGAAATTTTTATTTTAATTAAAAACTGATAAAAAAAAACAGTATACTAAAATAAATTTTTTTAAAAATAATTTCAAAAAAAAAAAAATTTAAATTGATAAATTTCATTTTAATTTTAATTTTATTTAGCATTAATAACTCTAAATGTTAAAAAAAAATAAAAAAAAAAAAATTAATTAAATGGAAAAAAACAAAATGCATTCGCAAAAGGATTCGAAAAATATTTTTTAATAATAATAATAACTTAATTATTTATTCATGCATACATATATATATACATATTTATATATGTATATATATGGAAAAATAACATAAAAACAAAACCTACATATAACAAACATTAAAAAAAAAAAAATAAAATAATTTGTATTTTTTTTTTTTGTTTTAAACTCAATTCAAAACCAACAACAATCCGCCAATATCATCAACGCAAAATATTAAATTAAAATATAAATAATATATAATATAAAAGAAATACTAAACGCATATAAATATAAAGATGAACAGAAAAATTAAAAAACAAACATAATAAAAAAAGAACATTTAATTTGCACTTCATTTTAAAAAAAAATACAAAAAAATTTAGCAAACATTATTTTCAATTACATGTACATTCATAATATAAAAATAGACTAAATTGATTCTGGCCATTTAATAATATACTCGTATTATTATTATTATTATATATGAATACAAAAAAAATTATAAAATATAAAATTATTATTGAAATTAAGTTTTAATTAACGCCTAAAAGTATACATATATATTAAAATGTTTTTAATTGCAATAATCATCCATAAGAACTAAAAGAAAAGAATTAAAATTGAAATAATTTTAATTATAATTCGGAATATTAAAATATATGAAAAAATATATATAGAAACGTTTTAATATAAATATCGTAAAACCATTATATAAATAATGGTATCCGGAGAGAATTAAAAAACAAAAACAATTTTATATTCGCAAACGCTCATTATAATACTTATGACTGCTTTGATACGTTTATAATATTTTAAAATAATAATTAAATAACTTTTTAAAAAATAAAAATTTTATTTTAATAATATCGCAGTAATTAAAAAGAAATCATTTTAAATATAATACATCGCAATAACCGCAAAAACTAAACTAATTACCTTATATTTTTAAAAAAAATAAAAAAGAAGCGAAATATTTTTTTTTTTTATATGTATAATAATTTTAAAATAATAAATTTGTTTGTTTTTTTTCCAAATAAAACAATAAAAATTTATTTTAAACAATTAGCGCATTTTTTAAAAAAACAAAAGACCCTATACACATTACACTATATATACATGTAGTATGATTCGTTTTTCGCATTTATTTTACATACAAAGTTGTAAATTTCAAAAAAAAAATACTATTATTATTAAATGTTTATAAATAGTAACAGGCAAATGACATAACCTACAAGTTCTATATAATATAAAAAATAAAAATCAAAAACCTTATATATATAACTACTAAAATCAGTTGAAAACTATTTATTATATATATATATATATATATATATATATATATATATACATTAAATAATTATTATTATTAACTGCTATTAACAAATTAAAGCATAATTATATATGATAAAAAGTTTCTATAATATTATTATTATTATTATGTTATAAAATGAAGAATATATATAAACAACAACAACCGCCATTTTATTTTATACAAACATCAAAAGAAAATTCAAAAACGAATCGTATACTTAATGAATTATGAAAAATGTAGCTACACGAGTATAAAAAATTAAAAATATAAATATTATTATATTAAATAAAAAATCCTTTAAAAATTAAAATTAATAAAAAATAAAAACAAGAACAATGCGCCTTTATAATATTTAAAGCAAAAATTCTTATGTATCAAAAAAAAAAACCAAAACGCTAACGAATATCTCTATCCTATTTTATTTTAATAATATTAACTATATAATATATTGCAATTTATATATTTAATTAATAAATAATATTGTATTATTAAAAATAAAATTAATATATATATATATATGTATACTAAAAAAAAAAAAATAAAGAAAAATTTTAATAAATATTATAAAAAGTTTGTGTTTTTTGTATTATTTAAAATAATAAAATAAAATTTTATATATTATAAACGAGTAATTTAAAAAAAAAATAAAATAAAAATTTATAGCGAAATCATCCGGAAATACGCATATATAAAATAAATATACTGATATATACTAATTTAATAATATATAAAATGCAAATTTCAAAAATATTAAAATTAAATCATTTTTCTTTTGTTTCTTAACATTAATTTCATCATAAGAAATTAATAAAATATATACTTAAAATTTAATATTAAATATACGAAATATTTTCAAAATATACGAATACTTTAATAATTATATAAATCATAAATAAATACAATATAAATTAATATATAAAAATTTGCAATAACATTTAATAAATACAAACAATAATACGTATACAATTTTAAAAAAATATATAATGTGTGCAGCTAAAGGAATCAATTATATTGTAACCAGAATTTGAAAGTACGAGTCTATTATATATAAATTATAATAATTAATAAAAGATCCTGGATGTATATAATAAAACAATTTATATACATATATTTTAATAATATTGTGAAGTGCATTTGATCCATATATATATATATATATATATGTGTAGATCAATAATATATAACAAAAAATGATTGAATATATAAAAAAATAAAGAGCCTGATTGGATTCAACATACATAATTATTATATAAATAAATAATTAATATATTCTATATAATGCGAATAAAATAATATTAATTATAATTAACAAATAATAAAATTTAATTTCATTCCAAAAAAAAAAAAAATTATGTATGTGTCAATATGCGAGGATAACATAAACCAATAAATGTATAACAAGTAAAAAAAACAAAAAACACTGAGAAAAATAAACACTTAAATAATATGTTCTATATAAAAGTTATATTTCAAGAATAAACACAAGAAAACAATAAAAAGTTAAAAAAAAAAAAACAATAAATTACCAAAAATTATGTCGTTTATTATGAAGATATGATTTTTAATAAAAAAAAAAATTATTATATAATATTTAAATATAAATTAGAGAAAACAAAAAAAACAACAGTGAAATTAGAACAAGCAGATTAATTAAAAATATTTCGAATTTTTATATTCGGTAAATTCTTACATAATATATATAAAATAAAACTACTTACATAAACTTAATTTGTATATATATATATAATACATATTGCAATACTATTATTAATTAACATATTTGATTTTGTAAATAGAATTTATTGTATAAATTTATAATAAAATATTAAATTATAAATTATAAAATAAAATATTCACCTATAATTGCATAGAAAACATAAGAAACTTAATATTTATGATATACGTTATACATAATATATGTACATATAAATTTACATCATATAACAGTCAGCGAAAGGATAAAAAAAAGTAAAATAAAACCAAAACTAAAATATATAAAAATATTGTTCTTCTTTCGGGATAATATTCCAAACATATAACATTATAATATATATACTAATGTATACTTAAATGTAATATTACATAATATATATATATATATTAATTATATACCTTCATAGGTATCTATATATATTTATATATATATATATTATGTAATTATATATCTAAGTATATAGATCAACATAATATAATTTTAACGTATATACCAGAAGAGCATAATAATACATAGATCTCATATATAGTGAAAATAATACATTTAAATAAAAGAACTATGCAATATACTACGATATATATGAATAACATAAAAAGAAGAAGAAATGAAAATAAAAAAAAAAAACCAGAGAACTTTATATTATAAATTTAGATAATTTTAAGAATAAAATAATATTTATATAAAAAAATATATATAATATATATTAAATTATATATATATTTACTGTTGACAATACTTAACTAATAATTTTAATGGTAAATACATGCTTATATAATATTATATATTAAAAATTTTCATTTATGTATTTTTAATAAATATTTTTTACATATAGAATGCTTGTTAATATATAAATAATATTTGCTTTTTTATATTACTAATTTTTTTTTATTTATTTGTAGAGCGAAGTGTGTATATAGTTAAATATTTTATATTTTGCATGTTTTTTATGTTATATTATATAACAATATTTTCATGTATAATTATAGTACACTATTATTTTAAAACAATCAATATGATCTATATAAAATTATTTATAAAATAAATGAAAAATTCTAAATTTTAGAATTATAACTTAATTCACGGAATAAAGAAAATTTAGCGCTAAAAATTTTTAATTTTTATAATAACTGTTATACAATAAAAATATAAGCCTTTTCAATAAATGATCATATACAAGAATTCGCCTATTGAAATTTTGAATATCGAAAAAAATACTTGATAATTTCGTATTCGTATTGTATATGGGCAAAAATGTCATGATTTTGAAATTGTATACGGAAATTTTCTATGATTTTGCTATTTTTGCTCATTCAATATATCCATTCGAAATTATGAAAAATTTGTACATGATGAAGCTTTATATAATTCGATGTAAATAGAGAGATGATGCATTTCAAATTTCTTGCTTATGCAACCAATATTATTTGTAATTGATTTTATGATTTTCAATTATTATTTTTCAGTAATGTATTTTTATTATAAGGAAAATTTAAAAAAAAATTTTGAATACAGTGAAATTAAAATTTTATTATACTTTCATAAAGAATGTATTTTGGTGTATATATAACATATACGTACGTATATATGTATACCAGAATAAGTTTTTTTGCATAATAATAAATTACAATAATAAAAATATTTGTTTATATCAAGATATTTTATGTTTTAAATAGTTGTTTTCAATTCTTTTTTTTTTTAATTTATTTAAAATATTTTAGTGTTTATGAGTGTTTTAATAATTGTTGATATGCACGCATATAGAACACGAACACAATTTTGCAATATCTTAAGTATATTAAGTAATTAATTTCATAAATTGTATAATATTTATAATATTTATTCAATATTACAGGGTAGTATTATTTATGTAAGCATAACAAAAAAATAATCACCATTTTTAACAAACTCTAAGTATTCATCGCTTACAGTCCGATATATGTAATTAAAATTCATACACACATTTTTATACCCGTACGAACGTATGTGCGAAGGGTATACTAAATTTGCCTTACCGTTTGTAACGCTAAGAAAAAACGGTCTTAGATATAGATTCAAGTGTATGTTTTTGATCAGCGTCGAATTCTGAGTTGATTTAGCTTTGTCTGTCCATGCGTCCGTTCATCGATCCCAACGATAACTCAAAAACTAATTGAGCTAAATTCACCAAATTTTCACAAATGATTTATTGTAGTAAGTGCCAGAACCCTATTCAAATTGATCGGGGCACTGGTTCGGGTAGCTGCCATACAACTTCAAAATTTATTTGGGTATATCTCAGAAACTATATAAGCTATGGTACTGAAATTTCACACCAAACGAATATATTAATAGAATGTGTTTGATAAAAGTCGTTGAAATTGCTTGGCTCTTTTTGGTAGCTGCCTTACAACTTCAATAATAGTTTGGCACACACAGTATTTTGAAAAACACGGAACTGAAATTTTGCATAAATTAATATGGTAATACGGCAACTTAAAGTCATTGTCTGTCCCATAGTCAGTTATGGCATATTTATTCGCACATAGGATAACAAATTCGTAAGGGTATCACAGAGTTGACAAGGTCAACTCTATTTTTTCTCGTTTGTTCAGATTTTTGATCTCTCTGAAAAAAAATTTCCTTTAATTTCAAATTTTATTAATGAAGTATTTAATATTCAAAATTGTCCAATAGTATATTAAGAATAAAAGCAAAATAAAATTCCCAAAATAACTTACATTATTGGAACTAATTCCTCTATATATAGAATATTGGAACTAGCTCCATCTTATTTTTGACAAGAATTTAGATTTTTACCAAATAATCAATAAATATTAGAAAAATTTTTTATATTACAAAATATCATATTCTGAAACTGTCCCTAAGAAAACCCCTAAATTCAAATTATTGAATTAATTACAAACTTTTCATAATTTTTTTGCGTTACATTGAACTACCAAATATCTTAATGTAGAATACACTATACAAAATCTCAACTAAACATTGTTTAATGTATACACTATAGTTGATAGTACGTATTAGATTATTTAGTACATATTTTAGATTTTTAATTTAATTAATTTAAGCTAGAATTATAATTTTACTTAAATAAAACTTTTTCTAATATTTAAATTTGCTTTTCTTTTCATACCTCAATCAATATAATCTTAATCGATTATTCAAAAAATACAAAAAAAAAAAACAACACAAAATTCAAATAGGATGATGACGATGAATTTAATGGTGGTCCAGCATTAGGAGGTCGTATTAGTATGCGAAGTGATTCAGATGATGAAGATGATGGACCGATGCAGATGCGTAGCAGTAATCATTTAACGTTGCCAACGAGTTTAAATAACAAGAAGCCATTTAAAATGGAAGTTGTTGATTATTAATTAGGAAAAAAAACAAAATAAGGAATTTACAGAATAAATTAAATGTAATCAGATTTAAATAGAAAATTAAAAAAAAAAAACAAAAATGTAAAAAAAAAATGAATGAAAAAAAAAAAAGATATCCAAATAAAAGTTAAATGCGAAAAAAAAAATAATTAATTCAAAAATAAGCTAATTAGAGTTTACTTGTACTAAATAGAATTAATATTTTTTTGATATAATTATAAAGTGAAGAAAAATGGTTACTAAGACTTTATTTTTAAGATTTTTTAATTTTATGTAAAATGAGATAAAAAAAATAAATAAATAGTATTGTAATATTTTTTTTTTTTATAATTTAATTTGTATAGGAAAATAATTAAGAAAAGAAATTTATTTTTCAAAATATTTTAATTTCTATGAGAAAATTCTTTAAAGATGGTGGTAAACAAACACAACAAACATAATGAATTGAAATGCTTTCACGGTAACACTGAAAAAATCAAATTTATTGCTATTTTTTTAATTTTTAATTCGTACACAGAGAGAAATTTTTAACTATAGTTAAGCTTAAAACTAAAAAAAAAATAAATTTCAAGACTTGTTTTTTCATTAAGAGCAGAACCAAATTTAAAATTTTAACATAAATTCTAATTAAATTCATGATTTTATATTTATTTTAAAAATAAATAATTTTAAACTTAACATTTTCAAGTATTAAATATATTGGAGAAGTCTCTATTGAATACCATCATCATATTTATTAAATTAATTTACATTTAAAAATTTCTTAACAAGGAAAGAATTAATAAAATTATTAATTGGCCCCTATCAATTAATATAGTTTTAATACAAAATTCTTATTTGTATGTGTATTTTTTGTTTTTTAAAAAATTAAATTTCAAATTTTCTTTACCATAAGATTTCAATTTTCTATTTGCAAAAATCTTATTATTTTATTTATTTTAAGCATGTAAATAAATAAATTTATATAATACACTTACACACAATTATTGTTTAATTATATTATAAACATATATGTGATTACATATTCATGTAAATATACATACTTATATTTAATATTATTACAAAAAAAAAAATAAATTTATTGGAAACATTAAAAAATTATAAAAAGGTTTTGCATTTTTTTGTTTTTCTAATCTTTTGTGTCCTTCTTTATTATACAATACGCGCTATACATAATTTACTTTAATTTTAATTTGAAAAAAATAAAAATAAAAAATAAAACAAAAATTGTAAATGTAAAATTGTTAAAAATATTTTTAATTGTATTTTTTGCTGTTTTAATTAATAATAAAATAGAATAGATTATTAAATAGTAATAATAGAAAAATTCTCTACATAGAAAGCATAAACGAAAATAAATAATTTTTACATAAAAAAAAAAAAACAAAACTTGTAAGATAAATAAATGTTTAGGTTAATTAATTTGTAGAAAAACTAAATTTTATTTCATTAAAATTATATATAAATACAAATATAATACATATGTAATATAATATATATGTATAATGTATATAAAATATACATATATGTATAAATTAAGAATATTATTATATTTAAAGTAAAATTTATGTTTTATGCGAAATTTCATATATTACAATAACAAGTCTCGTATAATATAGCAATGATTGGTTCCGCAGCTTAATCGAAAATATTATTTTTCTCTTCTATTCTCAAAGAAACAATTTCAAGACTTTAAAATTTGAAATTCCTTAAAATATTTCGATTCAAAAAACTTTTTATATGCGGTTTTATGTATGAAGAAATTTACTTTACAATTTTCAAAAACAAAATTTTTATTTATACATTTTCTAAATGTAAAACCATACAAAACAATAATATATTACTGTTACCTTTATAGCCAATGGTAAGATTACAATAAATCCTTATACACGGTCTCAATGTACTGTTACTCCAATTTTAATTCTACAATTGTTTGTTTTAATAATGGCAGTATAATCTAATAAAAAATTAAAACAATATATGCAATTTATAATATTATTGTAAAAATCAAAATTATGTATAACTACCATTGTAAAAATCATCGATAATTGATTTTTAAAATCCATGATCTGGTTATTAGAGTGCTAACTTAGAAAACTTAGGGTTTATAAAATAATTCCAGAACAAATTATATGGAATTTTTTTTATTTTTTTTTTCTTTTTGCCTTAAAAGTTGTTCCTTTTTCTATACCACTACACAAATAATGTTCTGCGATTGTCTTATTCTCAATCAACAATCTTATTCTAATTAGAATAAACTTGGCACAGTGCTTGATTGCTATACAAGGTGTAATTATTTATTTCGATATTAAAATAAAATTAATTTAAATTATAACTTGTAATGAATATAAATTAAAATTGTATACTTCTAACAAAAATATAGAAGAATTTAATTTCTTCAAATTAAAATATTATACTTTATGTATTATTATGTATACCTATACATATATATGTATAATAATAACAAGTTTTAAACGAATTATGTACAATTAAAAAAAAAATATATATTTTGATTTCATTAATAATAATTCAAAATTCATTATGTGTATATAAAATATAATTATAATTATATATATAGTATATAGAAATTAATAATTATTAGATTGCTCAATTATTATATATAATTATAGAAAGATTATTTAATTATTATTATAATTAAGAAATTATTTTTCAAAGCAATATTGTTCAGAACTATTTTCCCTCTTATTTGTTTTTAATTTAATTTTATTAAAAATAAAACTTTTATATAATTTTCCTTATTTATCTATATTAAAATCTATAATCATATTTTATTTCAATTAAATTTTTATATAAAGCCCACCTTTTCTTACTATTATAAAACCTTACTTTTATAATATTATAAATATTTTATAATTTTATGAATATAGGTGATGTTTGAATTAAAAAAAAAAAAGATGAAATATAATTCCTGAAATAATTTTTAATAATTTTAATAATAAATCCAATTCAATCAGAATGTTTTCCAATCATACACATTAATATTATCCCAACAATTAATAATTAAAATTTAAAATTTAATTGGAAGCATCATCTTTGAATAAACTTTTATATCAATATTATGAATTATTAAATTGATTGAAAGAAAAGCAGTAATTTTAAAAAATATTTTCATATAGCTTTAAAAATTATATTATTTTTAATATATTAAGCTACTTTTTTATTTTACAAAAACGTAAAAAATTAATATTTTTTATATTATTATTAATTATTTTTAACATACAGCTGCAAGGCAAAATAAATGATTTTTACTGAAGTTATTCAATTATAAATTAATTTTATTTCTACTTTAAGAAATTTCGTAATTCGAAAATTTATGATTATTTTAAAATTTATTTTTAAAATTACAATATTTACTCTATTAAAATTATTTTATATATTTGTTAAAAAATATTTTATTTTTTCACCTTTTACCCCTTTCTATATTCGAGTCTTAAAAACTATTTAAAAATAATGCTGGTGCTTCTTTCTCTTAAGAAAAAAAAAACAAACGCAAAAATACTATACCGAATTACTGTGAATTATTCTATAAAATATTAAAATATTTAAAAAATAAAAACCAAAAAAGAAAAAAAAACCAAAAGAAAATTAAAAAGAAAATAATTATTGAAAAAAAAATAAAAACAAGAAATTTTCTAAATTAGCATTAATTATAATATTAATTAATAATTTATTTTTAAATAAAATAAAATGCGACATGAGAGAAAAATAAAAAATCATAAGGTCTTCGAGGAAGACAATAATTTTGTTTATTTTTTTTTACATTAAAAATGTATTTATTATAACCAAAAAAAAAACAAAAAAAATGAAAAAAAATGAAATATATAAAAACCAGTACCTTAAAATGAATTCATAGAAAAAATACCTTAGACTTTACATTTGAAAACAAAATATAAAATATTATATATACATATTATATAATAAATATATAACATATATATTGAAATCAGTTTTACATAATAATAATAAAAAAATATAGAAATTTAAAAAAAAAAAAAATCTCAAGGGAAATTAAAATAAAAAAAAATTTCAATATTCCATTCAAAAAAAAAATTTTTAATCTCCCACAATATAATTTTTTTTTATAAATTTTCATTTTAATTATTTTATTATAATTTTAAATACATTTATATTATTTAATAATGTGCCGTAATTGTTGCTATTTAATAAAAAATAAAATAAAAATAGTGAATTTTAAATTATAAATCCCCTCTATTATGAACATCGGTATCGGCCGATATATTATCGGCAGTTCTAATCGGTTTTAAGTTTCTACTGTATTATGAACCGATACCGATAAAAATATTTCAACCGATTAAAAGAAGCTTTTTCATACAAATTTTTGTTTTTGTAAATTGGAGAAAAAGTTTTTTTTTTTTTCTAATGACATTTGTTTTCTTTCAAAATTATTTTCAAAAAGTTATTTTCAAAAAATTTTTAAAACTATTTTGAATTTGGTTTTGATGTGCTAAAAAGTTGTTGTAAGCAAATTATTTTCTGTTAAATTTGTAAAATAAAAATATACATATATCGGGAAAATGTCGCGTGCATTATATTTTGAAAGTGAAGAAACGGTAGTAAGTGAAGAAACGCAAGCTATTCAAAGACGACATATAAGAGATTCAACTAATCCATTGGATTTAGACAATAAAATTTATGTTTATGTACCTATTTTATTTTATTATTTATATAATATGTACACATTTTTTAGGTTTATCCAGAATTTCAGATTATCATTCCTTGCCAGGTTTAAGTCCTCTTCCATTTTTTCTACTAACCGTAGAAATATAAACATTTTGAAAGAAAATAATTTAGAAAAAATGCTTACATTTTAAAAAAGCAATTAATTACACCAGTTTCCTTGATAAAATGAAGATTTTACAAAAAAAAAAATCTGTCGTCTAAAAATTTGTACCCGCTTTTAAATCGGTGAAAATCCGACAATTTATCGTTTTCATAATACCAGCTAATACGTTTCCTATACAGGAAAAAAAGCTTTCCCGACTCCGATAAAATTTACCGATAAACAATGTTGGTAATACAAACACAAAATTTTGCCGATAAATTATCGTTTATCGGCCGATACCGATATACATAATAGAGGGGAATATCTATAAGATAGTTGATTCAATAATTGAGTTTATTCAATAATCCAAATCAAAAAATTTTAATAAAAAAAAAAAAATTTCTTCTCCAGTTTTTAATAATTCTAACATTTATTTAATATGAAAATTTTGTATTATATTTAATATAATACAAATATATAAAAGAAAATAAAATTTTTTTCCAAAAATTTCCCCTTTCGTTAAAATCAGATTATAGATCAAAAATTATATAATATATATTATCTTGTATGAAACAATCAAAATAATTAAAAATAATTTTTATTTTCTTCAAATACAAATTTCTATTTATTTAATATTTCTTTTTAATTAATTCTATTCAAGTCATAATTAACATAAAATTAAATTGACTTGCACAAGAAATCTAACAAAGTATACAAGATAATCATTTTTTATTTTATTTATATAAAAATATATTTATTATAAGGCATTCATTAAATGACTATTAAACATATTTAATTTTTCTAAATTTAATTCCACAATTTTGAAAAATAATTTTTCCAAATTATATTCAAAAAAAAAAATATTTTATTTTCATTATCATTTTAATGTACTGAAAAGGATAACAATAATAATAAATTTTACTAAATTTATAATGAAAATACAAAAAAAAAACAATATTAATAAATTTAATTTTTAATTAATATTTTAAGAACACTTCCGTTGTTTTTATAAAAAGAAAAGAGAAATAATAATCTGTATGTTAAAGAAAAATTTTTGAAATAAATTTAAAAAAGAAAAAATAAAGAAAATTAATATTTCGAATTAGAGACTAAAACAATTTTTATATATGAATGTAAAAAATTACAAATATTATATAATAATGTAAAAAACAAGTACATTAACATAAATTTAATTAATTTTTTTTTTTTTTTCATTTATTATTCTTGAATTAAAATATTAAATTTTGTATGATTTTCTCTAGAATAAATTCTGAAAGTTTTTAACATCAAATGAAATTTAATTATAATTAAAAAAAACAATTTTTTGTTTATATTTTATTATTTAATTTAATTTTTTAAACACCGTAATATTCATTTTTTTTTTTTTTTTATTCGAAACTCAAAAAGAAATTATTACCATTATTAATATTATGAATATTATTATGTGTTATTATTATCTGAACAATTAAAATATATAGATTGTAGGAAACATATCGCCATCTGATATTTGATAATGAAAAATAATTTAAAAATTTAAAAAATGAAAACTTTAGAAATTAAAATTATAGATTTAAAAAATTTTAGTACTAATAATAATTATTAAATTATGTATATTTAATCGAATAAAGCTAAAAAAAAAAATAAAAAAAAAAAAAAAAAAACATAAAACTGAAAATGAACTTAGAGATTGACTGTGTTTCAAAAAATAAGTTTAAGTGTAAAAAAAAAAAACAGAAAAAAAGTAAAAAATGTTATAATTAATAAATATACGTATATATATAAGTACAATTATATTAAAACAATATAAAATATAATATTGTAATAAATTTATATGTATATATAGTATATGAATTCAAAATTGATATTTTATATAATGAGTTACATATATGTATCTAAATATATGACTAAATTTATATATACTATATAAATATATATGTATTTATATTGATATATTGTATTTTATATATATATATATATATATAATATTATAATGTTTAAATTTAATATATCTAGTTTTAAATAAATGAAAAGTTAAATAAATTTAACTTGAAAACTAAATAAATTATAGTTTTATTTTTATATTATTTGTACTTATCGAAGTATTTGAATATTATCCATTAGAATTGAACATATCTTTTGTGTAAATAAAAGTATTTTGGGATTTTTTAATCATTTAATTCAAAAAGTGTACCGGAACATTAATCACTGTGTAACGGAGCGATATACTATTAATTTAATAATTTGGACAGTGAGCCGCCTCCTCTAAATCTACAAAAGAAATACATTAAATTTTAAAATAAAATTTTATACATTCTTTAAAATTATATACATATTATTTATACGAGTTTTACAATATTTGTTTGGATTTGAAGATATTTTGTTTTTTTTTTGAAAAAATAAAAATTAATTAAAGTTGAAAAGTGTTAAATTGAAATTTTATCTTTTGTTAATAAATTATTGCTAATTTTATTTAAATTTATAACACGATTTCCAAAATATAAATCGACATTTTTGGAAATTATTATTATTTATCAATTAAAGATTTTTATTTTGAAAACATTCTTTTATTTTTTATTTCAAAATTTAATACACTTGTAGAATACTAAATATTTATCTTTCATTATTTGAGTAATTAGATATTTTTTATTATATTAGATTATTGATTATTATTTTAAATATTTAAAATTTATTTATTAATCTGCAAAAAAAGGAATGAGAAACATTAAAGAAAACAGCAATATTTTACGACATTCTTGAAATATTTTTTATTTATTCTGAACTATTGACATTGAAATTGTAAGTTACATGAAATATTTTAATTTATAATTATATGTTTTTATATTTTTCTATTTTTTTTTTTTTAATTTTTTTTTTTATTTTTTTTTTTTTTATTGTATGTTTATTAAGTTATTTTTCAAATGGAGAAATATCTACTTGTGATTCAGGGAATAACTTTTACTCAAAATATTTCTACATTTAAACTTAAAATACCTCATACATTACATACTTAAATATTATTTTTTTTTTTAATTTTATTATTTTCCTTATTTTTTTTTTTTGTTTTAAATAATTTTATCTATTCATATTAGAACACAATTGCACGTAAAAGCACAAAATACAATTTATTCAAAATCACTTAAAATTATGCTTATAAACTAAAATAAAAAAATAATATGTTTTAATGAAGTTTTTTTTTTGTGTTTTTTCTCTATTTAAATATTCAAAGCTCTACCTTATTTACCAAAAGTATTGCAAAATAAAAAAATACATGGCAAGAAATTGGCAATGGTAGCTAAAATATTGAGTATTCATTAAATCATTGGTCAAAAACAGACTATAAAAATTTGATTAAATGTTTAATTTTTGAATGAAGAAAATATTGTGTAAAAAAACACAACGGAAATGGCTTTCTTATTTAGGAGGCGTATGATGTTTGCAGGAGCTCTTTTTAGGTAACGGATTTTAAATGAAAACTTGAGGTTGCATCTTATATTAAATTACAATTACAGTTTTCTTCAATAAATTTACAAAATTTATACATTTTGTTTATAACGTATGAAGTAATATGAGACCTAATTCATTTGATATGTTAACTTTTTATCTTACTAATATAACAGTATTTGTTTATTTTTTTTTCTGTATTTCGATATATCAAACTGATAAAAGAAATAAATTTCAATATTCTTTAATTAATCACACGCCTGATTTGGAAAATATCCGCCATTACAAATTAGTCAAAATTAAAAATAAAGGATAATTATTTTTCAATCATAGTAGTACAATTTTACGCCCAAATATTTTTTTTTTTTAGGTTTTACATATTTTCATTTCCAAGATTCATCTTGTTATTATCATAATAAAATTATTTTATTAAAATAATTAATGCAATATAGTGTTATGTATGAAAGCCAATATATAAGTGATGAAATGTTTTAAGAACAATATTGAATTGTGTTGAAAATGAATTTTAGTTCTAATTTTACATGAAAATTATTCGATTAATGTATGTATGTATATATATATATATATATATTTTTAACAAAAAAATACGACAACTATTTTCTTATAAAGAAAAAATAAAAGTAAAATAACTTAAAAATAATAGAATTTCGACTAGGAATGAAATTAATGAAAATTTCCTTTTCTTATAAAGAAAAAATAAATCTTCTAATACCATCGTCATTGACGTGAAAATGATTTATCTATTACAAAAAAATATAAATATAATTTTTCATTGGCATATTATTTAGCAATTAAAACTCCTTAAGTACATTTGATGCACAAGAATCTGAATTCAACAAAATTATTTTTTGGAAATTATAAAATTTTTTTAGTACGCATATCAAATTTTTAATTTACCAACATCAGTTGCAGTTGATTTATAAATAAATGTAAGTTGAATTTTTATACGCTATGAGAAGTTTTAGTTTTTCAGTCCAAACGAAAAAAAAGTTAAAAAATATTTTCAATATATGAAAAGTTCGAAAAATTAAGGAATAAAAGCAAATTTGTTTTTTTTTTTTTAAATTGTGTTGCCTTTTATATGCCTTTGCTTTTGTGCGATTTTTAAAATTAAAAATTGGCTTAATAAGTGATGCAATAAAAACTTGGTTGAAAGAATTCTAGTAAATTTTGATTTATAATTTATTATTAATATATTTTTCGGTTTCATACCAAAATAATCTGTTTCATAAGTACTTTATAGTTTTGATCCAATTAATGTTGAATTAAAAAAAATTTTAGCAGCACAAAAAAAAATTTTTTTAGTCAATGGTGTTTATGAAGCTTAAACAATAATATCATTTTAATTAAATTAGATTAAAATATCACAAATATTTCATTTAAAAAAATTATCTTAAACTAACTAAATAAATCATATCAAATATATTAATATTAAAATCACGTTATTATTTTAAAACTAGAAATGATTTTTTTACTCCTGTTTTTACTGCACCTTTTGAATAAAATTATTCCATCACAAATTAAATAATAAACACCAATTCGAATTTCTTTTGAAATTTTTCTGATCAAAGCTACCACAAAAACTAGTATTAGCGGAACTATCATTACTACCATTGCTACTACAACTACGATTCTATGTATTATTCCTTTTAATGATGACAATAAATTTAGTAGATATCGACTCTTTGGAGAACAGCTATTTAAAATTGAATTGTTATTGTATTTTGAAATTTCGAATATTTTTACTTTTGTTTCGAGTGGATCTTTTTTTGATAAAACTTCTATTAAGATAAATCATAAAGACAATAAAAATGGTATTATAGATTTACTCATGTTGTCGTATTTTCTGAAAATGCCATATTTTTGGCAATCAAAATTGCTACAGTTTAAGCAGCTTGACTTGAAATAATCTTGCAACTTTTGTCACCTTTTATGTGATCCTGATTTCTGATTTTTACCGCTCGAATACCGACCTTTTCCATTAGCTGTACCGGAAGAGTTAGAATTGCTCTCAGTTATATTAGTTGTTGGATTATTTGCCGAAATATTTCCGCCGTTTTCTTCTGATATTTGCTGCTGCTGTTGTTGTTGGTCCCTTTCACCACGGAAGCGGTCTCTATCACGATGAAAGCGTCTGTTACCTCCTCTAAAGTGTCGTCTATTATATTGATGATTATAATTATTATTAGTTGGTTCAGCTGGCGAGTAGCCTAAAAATATTGTAGCAAATAAGAATCAAATATTTTAAAAAAATAAACAATGTGATTTAGGTTACGTGTAGGTGCAGTGTTAATAATTGGTGCAAAATTTGTGTGGTTGACTGTTATTCGACTGGAACTGGCACTATTATTGCTAGTATTGTTACAATTCTGCCCATTAGGCGGATTTGGCTAAAATACATAAGTTTTCAAAATTAATTTTAATAAAATTGGTGTTTATTGAACAAAGCTTAAAATTTACAAAATCGAAAATCAGTTATATTACCACATTTCTTTCCCCGTTCTCATTAATTTCTTCACCATTTGCTATAGAACTTGCAGCATCACTCATATGTTTTTGACCTGCCTGCGTAGCAGCCAATTTTCTTGCGCGTTCTTGCTCTAATCTAGCCAGCATCTGGTCTTCTGTTTCAATTGAAATAACATTTTTCTCCTCTGCGCTTATATCTATAATGGCTCCACGACTTTTTTGACGCAAAAATAAGTTTGACATCCTTTGTTGCAGTTCTTTCAAATCTTTCGTTAATTCAAAATCTGGAGCATTCTCTAATTCAGATGGTGGCTTAGCATCTCGCAAAGCATCAACATTATCAGGAATTTTTTCTCGACATACTGGGCATACAGCTTGGAACGCTTCTGCTGTTTTCTTTAACCAAGCAGGCAACTTATTGATTTCCTCTTGCCAATTACGTTTCGAAGCGACTAAATGACGGGCCAAGCAAAAACTGCAAATTAAACAAAATTAGTACCTTTAGGGACGATTTATTTTCATTGAAGCAGTAACGCATACCTGTGCAAATAATGAAAGCATTCGGTTTTAATGAATTCATCACCTTCTTGAAATCCATAAAGGCATATTACACATTGACCACTTGGCAAGTTGCTTCCTGTCAAATGTTCTCGAACTACTTCTATCAAGTCAAAAACAACAGGATAACCCAAAGATTCGTTCAATTTTGTAACACAAGCTGACTTAATTTCGTTGAGCCTTTGATCATCTAGACCTCTAGGTTTCAGGAGATTAAATTTTGGTGAAATTTCGGGATAACCAGAAGAAGGAATTACTTGTAAAGTAACGCAAATGTAACGATCTGATTCTGTTCCAATAGGGAAAATGGTTGTTTCAATAATCTCAGGAACATTACTGAAATAAGCATTAAAATTTATAATATATCATTACTCAAATCAAAATTTACTACGTTTGCGAATTTCGATGAATTTTAACATCTTCCATTAATATTGCTTCCAAAGATTCAACTTCATCAATGAGACTAACATAAAAAGTAAAATAATGAAATTAGTACGTAGGTACACAAAATTTAGAAAAATCGAATCAAATTTTTTTGACTAAAAATTTTTTAACTTTTCACCGTTTTTAAATTGTATAATAAAGAATCCTATTTACCTATCCATTTTTCTTTCAGCTGAATTAATTTATGTTGGAACACCGTTTTTTTTAAGTTGTTTAAAATTAGATAATTTTAGTAGAAGAACTTTGGTGAAAACCGATGAAAAATCCAAACAAAATTGTATACCCTTGCAAAAATTTTTTTTATGATATTTAATTGTCAACATAATAAAATGACATTTTTTGGGAATAGTACAATTTTTTTATAAAAGTACTTTAAAAATAACTATGAAAATTCAAAAATTATTAAATATTACAGAACACAGAAAAAGCTTTACCTTTAATTATTTATTATTAAGTTTATTAAACAAAAATATTGAGTTTAAGAAATTGAATTGAATACACGCGAATCATCCTTTTAATTTTTAACATAAATGGGTGAAAATTCATATATATTTGTATTTTTATTTAAATACTATACAATTTTTTTAAACTAAGGCAAAGTTTAGACGTTAAACATGAGGTGTCAACTAATACCCATTCTTTAATTGTTTATTTTGTGAAGAGGTGGTTATTTCCTTGTAAAGTCAATTTATGGTTATTTTGAATAGAAAATTGAAACAACAGTAGAAATAAATTAGTCAATAACAGGTTGAAAAATATTCCGAATTAGATGAAAAAACCAATATAGCGTTTTCCACGAAATTTGTGGTATTTAGTTGGTATTTAACTAATACAAAAGTTGGTACTTTTTGGATTTGGATTTACTCGTTTTTTTTTTTTCATGAAAAAAATATCTTCAAACAATTTTCACCGAACAGTGCTTAGCCTGGTAATTACATAATATTAAAAATACAAAGCAAATAGTTTTAGACAGCGAAATTTTGATTTTCCTCAGAAATGTCATATATGCAAACAGCCATCAATACTTTATACAAACGTCAATCATATCTTATAACAATAAATATTGAATGTCTGTCGGATATATTTTGGTAACCGCAAACCGCAATGCAATAAATTTGTTAAATTAATTCATTTTGACTGATCACTAACTTGTGAATTATTATCTTTACAAACAATATTGTAACTAAAACTGTTGACTTCGGTTGTCAAATTCATTAAAGAATGTCAACCAAAGGAAAATTGTTGATTATGTAAACACATCTAATAATACGGAAAACATTCTGACTGAATGCATCCCTGAACATATGTCAAATAATTGTCAAATATCGAAATATTTTTTTTTCTCATTGGAATATTGAATCAGGGAAAGTGCATTATTTTGTGGTTGAAAATCAAAATTTGTGTATAAAATATAAAGTAAGTTTTAAAAAATATTTAACTCTTTGTATTATAAAAATGTTTTGTTTCTTCTCACCTGTAAGAATTGAAATATAATTTTAATATAATTTGCACAATTTTCAAAATAGTTTTAGATAAGATTTCTTAAAATTGAGTAAAGATGACAGACGAATGGCAAACCCAAAAATTTCGCCAAAGTGTTGTGGCGAAAATAAATGAATTAATTCCTAAAAGTACAATTATGGATCCATGCAACGGAGATGCAACTGTGATGGAAAACCATATTTTCAAAAAAGCTAAGAATCGAGAAGAATATCTTAGTTTACTTGCGAAACTTTTTATCCATTATCGTGAAATTAATAAAGGAAGACAGCAAGCTGGAAATGCTCAAGTTCCAAATGATATGGGTGCCAGTACTAATAATGTTGTTCAAGAACCATTAAACGCACTGCAAAATTTAGCAATGCAGGGAAGTAGGAATCCACAGTTAGTGCAACAAATGAATCAAGGTCAAAATCCTATGGGGGGCAATTCAATGGTTGGAACTGCTTCCAATTTGCTTCAAACACTTACGCAGCCTCGACAAAATGCACAAAATCAAAATGTTTCTGCTATGCGTGGACAAATGTTAAACGCACCAATGAATGTTGGTGCTATGAACAATAACTTATCTAATTTTAATCCGTCTATTGGTATGAATAATATGGTTGTAAACAGCAATTCTCAAGGGCAAGCCATTGGTGGCAATATTATGCCAAATCAAGTTCAAATGCCAAATATGCCACAAAATCAGTCAATGAATATGCAAAACAATATGCCAAATCAAATGACTATGGGAATGAACCACACTCAACTCAATCAAATGATAAATAGAATGAACAATCAAGGATTAGGCCAAAATCAAATGCCACAAAATATTGGAAACATGAATCAGCTTGAAGGTCCAAACATAATGAACTCAGCTCAGGGTATGAGTCAAGCTATCCAGAGACCTGCTGGACAAACAATGATAAATAATAGCAACCCGGCCATGTTCCAAGGAAATCGACCAGTTGGGCAATATTTGCGTCAAAGTCCCAGTCCTACAGTGTCTTCACCGGCAGCTGCAGCAATTAATACTCCTCAGCAAATGCAATCAAACTCGCAAATGATACCCAGTCCAGCATTAGTACCAACATCAAGTCCGCAAATGGCAAATATTTTAGCCACTCAAAGAAATCTCCGACAGTCTCCTAGTGGACCGCTAAATACGCCGGGACAAATTACTAATTCCAGTCCTTTTAACCCCCAAGAAGATCAGCTATATAGAGAAAAATATAAACAGTTAACAAAATATATTGAACCTCTTAAAAGAATGGTAGCGAAAATCGGAAACGATGATGTGGAAAAAATAACTAAAATGAATAAATTGTTAGAGATTTTATGTAATCCTCAACAGCGAATCCCCCTTGAAACTCTGTTAAAATGTGAAAAAGCATTAGAAAAAATGGATTTCAAGTCGTATCCAATGCAAGTAGGTTATCAGTTCGGTAGCAACAATGCTTTATTAGAAGCAGTTAATTCAACTCTACAAAACTCAATTGGTAATCACACTTTACAAAGAACCTTTCGTCCTTGTCTTGAAGCTCTATTTGGTTCAGATATTAAATCATTTCCATCATCAAAACAATACAGCGGAAAATTAAAGGAAAATAATATAACTACTTCAGAAATACCACATGTTCTTCAAGGAGAAATTGCCCGGTTAGATCAAAAATTCAAGTTATCACTTGATTCATCATGTCAGAGTCATAGTAAGATTATCAAATTGATATGTTGCATTGATGATACGAAATTACCATGTGTTCCACCATTACTTGTAAGTATTCCCGAAGAATACCCAATGGTATCACCAAGTTGCTCTTTAACTAATCATGAATATCCTGCAACACCATTTTTATTGGCGGTGCAAAATACATTAGTTACCAGAATATCAAAATTACCTAAGGTTTATTCTTTGTCTCATTTACTTGATACTTGGGAAATGTCTATTAGGCATGCCTGTACTCCAAAAAACTTAGCTTCTATTGAAAATGTGTACTGTATTTAAATATTGATTTTTGGAGTGATCGTGAAATACTTGCAGTATAAAACAAAAATATTTAAAAATATTTCAAAATAAATACATGAATAAATTTAAATGACAAATTATACATTGGTTTGAATAGCCTGCGAAGATAAATATAAAATAATTATTTAACATGTTTTAGTTAATATATGATGTATTTTAATCAATAAAATCGAAATTTCCAAAAAAAAATATTTTGCAAATTTAGTTTTGTATCTCTTCCTCTAGTAGTTACTAACCAAAATGTGCCTAATATATTTCTATTTTACAAATTTATATATGAAATAGAACATGAAAAGAATTGGCAAAATTATTTAACAAGTTCTCATTTAAAAATATATGAGCGGCAGTATGTATTGTTTTAACGATTTTGAAAGCAAAGAAAAGTTCCAATGCACTCAGAAAGCAAGCTTCTTTTTCTTTATTTATTTACTTTTGGCTTTTTCGGGAATTTGTATCTATCTCTTTTTAATACCCGTGTCCAAAAATCTGTTTGATCCATTAAAAAAGTGCTTTCATTGTAGTAAAAGGTTATTTGAAATTTTTTTTATACATAAATGTAAATTGCTCACATCAATTTTTTTAAATTTTCTTAAAATTAATTGGTGTTCTTAATATAAATCTATTAAAAATTAATTCATACATGACAATAAGTTTAAAGCAGAGAAAATAAAATTAAAGCTCACCACGAACTTTCTCACAGTAATCGCTGTAACGGTAAAGTTTTTAGCTCTGATTTAATAACAGAAAATTGTTTGACGTTTATAAAAATTTGAGAGAGTAAAACGATACTTACTACAGTAGATGGTACTTCGATTTTGATTTACAAAAAATAATTTAATAAAATTAAAAATTTAAGACAAAAACGAGATTTTGTAATTAAGAAGTAAGGTAGTATAGAGAATCACTACTCGGATTTCAACCAGAGGTAGTAGGAATTTCAGAAATTTTTCAAGGTAAAAATATATTGTCTATATACAAACTTGCTACAGATATATATACTCGTATATATATATACGTACATATGCACCTATAACAAAAAAAGTATAACTAAATTTGTATACAAAATAAAAAAATTTATTGACTAATTTTTTCGTAATGCCAATTAAAACTTAAAATAGAAGTTTTTCTAAAATATTTTTGATTTAATATCTCTTTAGAAAGATAACTTAAATAATATTAAAACGAAAAAATAATTCTAACTTAATATTTAAATAACACACTAATTAAAAAATAAAATAAAAATTTAAACAAGGGTGTAATTTTTTAAGCATAATTTACAGGCCTTAAATTGCTCTTATAAAATATTCTAAAATTTTTTTATTACTAAAATTAATCTCTCCTATAAATATTTTAGATAATTACTCTAAAAGTTAGGATTATAATTTGAATCTCTTGGATATCTAGGTGTTCTTGCATTATACGTATACATTTGATGAGCATCCCATACGGGGTCTGTTGAATATGGATTCATTTTGAAATTTTGATGATACGTACTATAAGGCTTATAGCTAGTATCATAATAATTATAATCATGTCCACCGTGATTTGAACCCCAACTATCATATATATTTGATTGACTACCGTGCATAGAACTTGGAATTCTCTGAAATTATAAAAAAAATGTGTTTTTTTTTTCTTTAGAAATTTAACAATCTAGTCAAAAATTTAAACTTTTGGTACCTTTGATTTAATTGGTGGTTTTGTGTCATTCCAAGCATCGTCTACATTATATAAATCTTCAGCCCCAAAATTATCAACACCACCCATGTGATTTTTATTTAATTCATTTAACATATCAGCTGTTAGAGGCGGTGGAACTTTTTTCTTTGCGCTTTTATTTCTATTTAATAGCTAAAAGTAAATGGAAGCATTTTAAAAAGGACACAATGATATAAAATATAAAATGTTACGACTTACCACTGTAATACCGAAAATAAATATAAAACAGAAAGAGCCAACGCCTATGACTATTAAAACTATTCCCCATTGAGGAATCAGCACATTTTGTTCTTCGAAGTCTATCGTTGATGGGCGAACCTGTGACACTACAAATATTTCCAATAGATTATTACCAAATATTTATCTATGATTATTTAATATCATACCAATAAAATCAGTTGCTAAAGGATCTATTACATATTTTCCTAACATATAAGTTTCTTTGACTAGTTTTTCACCTTTTCCCTCTAAATAACTATTATTTTCATTAGAATTATCTGAACCTAATGGCACAACAGTCAATGGCGTTTGAATAAGTGCATCATGAAATAGACGTTTTATTTCCTGTGTGTTAACATCACGCGTGACATTACCCAATTCAATAAAATAATCGACAAGGACACTTCCTTTACTAAAACTATCAATTTGTACTTTCTTGAACCAATTTCCTAAATAGGGTGCGTTAATGTAAACTTCGTTGAGCTAGAATTGTTTAGATAAATAGATTGATTAAGGCGATACGTCTAATATTAGCACATGTAATAATATTACCTGAGTTTCAATTTCTTTTGCTAATGTTTTCCATTCCACTGTATTATGGTCAAGAAGTTCTGGAGACCATTTAACTCCTTCAATGATTTTAATAGTAGAAGCCATTCTGCACTCTACTTTACAATGACCAGGCTGTGTAGGACGTGTTGCTTCGGTTGTCGTTGTAGTAGTAGTTGTAGTTGTGGTCGTTGTAGTAGTCGAGGACGGTAATAACTCAGAAATATCTATAGTACGAGCGTTTTCTAGTAATTTCTCAATTGATATTGGTGTTGTTGATGGTGTTGGCCACCCAGTAAATTCAGTAGTTGCCCTTAAGTGTTTGTAAAAAAGAATTTAATTTTATTTTATTGAGAACATAGGTTGTAATTACGTACCTAGTTGGTGGTCCCTTTTTGATTGTGATTTGTGGAGGTGGTGGTCCACTTACTTTTGGTCTAGGGCTTGTAACCCTAGAAGTTTTCTTATTTAATGAACTTGGAAACACAACTTTGAAATTATTATTTGAGGCATCCAATGTTTTTGAAGAATTTTCTGATGTGGATGATGTTTGGACAGCTTCTACTTTATGAGGTTCTACAGCTTCGTCAGGTTTGTAACCTGGTGGCAGGAGATTGGATATATCTTTTACTTCAACTATTTTATCCTTTCCAAGTATTTTGGTTATATCTAATACTTCTACTTTTTCCTCCTTTGAAGCTTTATCAAGATTGAATCCTGGTGGAAGGAATTTGCTAATATCGTCTTTGACAGTTACCGCTAAAATTTTTTGCGTTGTAGATTGTGTGATTTCTGGTTTTGCTGTTGATAAATTGAACTTAGACGGTTTAAACTTATATCCTGGCGGCAAGAATTTACTAACATCATCCACAGTTGTTAACATCGGCTTAGGAGTGCTAACTTTTTGTTTGTAGTCTTTTGGTAAAAATTTATCGTTGTTTTCTTCAAATGTCAACTTACTTAATATGTTTGGTATTGGCTTCTGAGAAGCTTCAGTAGTTGTTTCATTTACTCTATGCCCTTTTGGTAAATGACTAGATAAAATAATTTCCTGCGCTGTAACAGGAGAATTTTTAAATGAACGACTTATAGTTTGATTTCTAATTGGTTTTTCACTGCTTGTAATTGCTGGTTCGGTTGTAGTTGTAGTAGTAGTTGTTGTGGTCGTTGTTGCTGGTTTTTTGTTTCGTAAAGTGAACCCACTAGGTCTAGCTTTAAATCCTGATGGCAAAAGTGAACTTATATCATCCATTTTTATATCATCAAAGTTTATTTTAGGAGTTTTGGTAGCGCTTTTAGGAATGAATTTTCTATTCAATTTGTAATTATTAGTTGTGGTCGTCGGTTGCGTCGTTGTTGGTACTTGCTCTGAAGTAGATAACTTTATCTTAGATTCAACATTTTCGGGAGTAACAGTTACATTTTCTTCATCGATATTAGGTGGCAAAGTTGTTTCAGATAAAGATTCAACTGAAGCAATTTTTTCGCTATCTTCATTTGTTTGTTCTGATAAGGCAGAAGTCTTCTTGCTCTTAATTTTACGTTCTAGTTCGGATAGTGTTTGTTTTTTCTCCTCTTGTTCAATTGCTGGGAATGGTAAGAAACGGGCCCCGTTTAAACTACGACTTGTTTGTATTGATGCAATAACAACATATCCTTCAGTCGAATTATTTAATCCTTGTTCATCGCCTATGGGGTTTTCAAGTGAAGCTGTATCATTTTCAATATTTTCTTGTGGTTTACTAATTTGCACACTAGAGTCAATTGTTGTTTCCGTGGTTGTTCCCTGTGTAGTGTTTATTATGTCGTTGCTTGTTTCCTATAAAAATTAAGATTAAAATAATATAAATTTTTGCAAAAGTGAAGATATCTTACTTGACTTGGCGTCGTTGTATCAGAAACGTTATCATTTGAAACCGTTGTAATAATTTCTCCAAGGGTTTCTTCACTTGAGCTTTCTTTAACTTTTTCGTGTTCTTCCCTTTCTTCAAGTATTTCAATAAGTTTTTCAATTATTTCCATTTCTTCCATTTTTTCATTATTTTCTATTTGTTTCTCTTTTCGACTTTCATTTTCATTAATATCTTTGTCATTTTTGTTTTCACTCATATTTTCTAAATCAGTATCATCCGATTCATTGTTTTCCATTAATTCTTCATCATCAGGTTCAGCTTCATCTTCATCGCTGTAATCTTCATCAACATATTCCACACTTTCTTCTTCAGCATTTAAATCTTTTTGCTTAGTAAACTCTTCTTCATTATTTTTTGATATTGTTGGCTGGGTTGTGATCTTCATATCATCTTCTTCATTCAAAGGGTTTGTCATTTTTTCCATTACCTTACTAAAATCTCGTCTAAATGTGGTTGCTTGAACAAATTTTTCTCTTTCTGTTGTTACTTCAATCTGTAACTTCTTATCATTATCGGAATTTTCTAATTGGGGAACAGTCGTGGTTATTTGCACTTTAGATTCATCATTTTCATCATCATAATCTAAATTTTTTGGTGTTATTGATGATTCATTTTCAGTTTCATTGCTTGTTTCATTGTTTAATTGCATTTCTTTTGATATTTCTTCAATTTCACCTGATTGTTCTTCGGATTGATTACTATCGGCTGGTAAAAAGAAATTAGACGTCAATATCATTGGTTTTTCAATATTTTCAGAATTTTCTGAATTATCAGTTATTTCAAGTACTTCATCTACATCATCTACATTATGATCAGTTGTTGATGAAACAGTTGTAGTGGAAGTTATCGGTTCATCAGTTGTCGTATTTTTTTCCAAGTCTTCATTGAAATCTTTTAAACTATCAATCAAAGATTTTTGTTGTTCACCATTAATCTGATTTATTTCCAATACTTCATCATCAAGTTGATTTTCTTCTTGTTTTTTAGATGGATTAAAAGATTTCAAATATTTTGGATTTGCACCGACTTTATTTAAAGAAGGACGATTTCTTGAATGAATTGGTTCATTTACTTCTCTACTAATAAATACAGGACGTTTAGGTTGAAAACCACCAGTTTTATTATTCGAATTTTGAGAATGAGGCGTGAAACGAGATTTCGGTGTATTAGACTGTTTGGAAGAAATTTGTGATGAGGATTGTGTTACAGATTGTTGCTGTTGTTTCTTATTTTGTCTTGATGAACTACCAAAACGGTTATAACGTGATTTTTCAGTTGATAAAAATTGTGTTGATTCTGTTGTAGTTTTCGTTGTTGTTTTACCACGTTCAGAAGTTGGTTGGAAACGATTTCGATTAGTACGTGCAGGAAGTTGTTGAGATTTTGCAACTTGTTGTACATCTTCATTTTGTTGAGTTATAGTAATTGGTGTTGATGTTTGACGAGAAAACGGACGAATTCTTGGTCCAAATGGTCTTGGACGACTTGTTTGTGGAAATGATGCAGGTTTTTCCGATGATGTCGATGTAGACTAAAAATTAAAATAAAAAAAATATATGTAAGTTTTTAAACTGAATCGTAATATGTGTTAATCGTAAAAATTTTCAATTAAATAAATTACCTAATCAAAATATAATTATAAAATAAATAAATTTCACTTAAATTTTAAGAGATGAAGATGATTACGTTATAATATGTTTATCATCTTGATAAAAAAATATTTCAATTGCCTGCACACAAGTTCAATTAATCTTTTGCACAATATTAGTGTTATTGTGTGTGAAAGAATAATTCAAATGGCATTGCTATACAAAAGTTATAGAGGTTTTCTATGATTTTAAAGAGTTTTCAATGTTTATGGATGTATGCTTGTCCTAACACACATTATGTGTTATAAATTGTATTTAGATAATATATGCTTTTGTACCGTTATTCTTAACAATGTGCATTGAATTGCTTTTCAATTATGCTATTTAGGGTATTATTTCGTTATAATTTCTCTTCTTATACCTTCAATAACATTACAATAAATAATAACTGAAGTTGATTGAAATGAGTGAGACCTTATCGTCACAAACCACAAAAATCATAACAGTAATAAGCAAAATATAATAAAATTTTCATTGATTTTCTATTAAAAATTAATTTTTTTCTTTCCTTTTCTGGTTTGGTTTACAAAAATTAAAATACAGATTTGATTGAAAAAAAACCGCCAGTGGCTTATTTGACTTTTTGGAACTTTGACAGAGGCTTACTTACTAATATTACAATTTCTTATTGTATTGAATCACATACATACATACATATGCGTACTAAGTGAAATATAGAATAATTTGATGAAAAATTCAATTAAATATTTTCAATGAACTTATTAAGTCAAAAAGTATTGTATGTCAAATTTTAACCACTTTACATAACTTTAATTAATAAAATCACTAAAGAGAAGGAAAAGGAGGTATCGATTTAAATACAACATGTAGATTGGTATTTTAATTTTATCCAACAAAATTGTGTGTGTGCACACTTTTTTAAATGCTTAATGACATTGTGTTAAATAGATTGCATAATGGAATTATCAATAGAATTATGAATTTTTTTTTGAAATATTTTGTAATATCTAAAATATTTTTTTGTGAAGCACTAATCCTACATGAATGCAGTAAAGGAGTAAAGTTTTTTAAATTTTTATTAAAAACCGCAAATTGTTCATTCATTTAAATAAAAATGCATACGTACAAATGTATAGCATTTTAGATTCATTTAGCAATTTGCATTTACATGATGCAGGAACAAATTTAGATCATTTGTCATATAAATTCTATATAGTTACATATAGATATTTTGTATAACCTTTATTTATTGGCTCATTCAAGTAAAATCATATTGAAGTTAACATTTATGGCATTTATCCACAATATTTAGTTTTTAAAGTACGAAATGAAATTTTTAATGAATTCGTCAAGTTTGTATTAATTATTCTTACACCTATCGTTAAGGTTTTTTACGAACGATTAATGTTGGGATATTTTCACCGAACAAATTATACTGCCATATATAAGATGAATCAATCAACTTTCAGTTTTTAATAAAAATTAATATTTAACAACTAAATTTAAAAGGCAGGTCTACAATTTGTGCTTTTTCAAAATATTTTTTTAAATCTTCAGGGTGAAATTCTTGAAATTGTGTTATTCTTTCGCTCCTGTATTCCAATAAAAAAATTCTTTAATGTTTTAAATCTTAAATTAACACTTAACCAGCTGGGTATTAGTTTGTGCTTTTTCAAAATATTTTTTTAAATCTTCAGGGTGAAATTCTTGAAATTCAAATGTGTTATTGTTTCGATCCTGTATTCCAATAAAAAAATTCTTTAATGTTTTAAATCTTAAATTAACACTTACCCAGCTGGGTAAAATTCTATAAAAAATTTTTTTTGGAAATTTTTAAAAAAAAATTCATGAGAAATTGTTGGTTCAAAAAAAAAAAGTGAAAAAAATAAAAGATGAGGAAAATTACAATTTTCCTAAAGTTCGATTCGAATGTTCGCATTTCCGAAAAAGAAAATAAGTAAAACTAAATGATGCACGCTATTCTTTATTCCAAATCCTCTAATAACCCTTTCAAAAATTGTTTGCTTTGAAGGTTTGATCTTTTTTTTTTCGGAACGGAAGTTATGAGCATATAAAGATATGTTAGAATTTCGTCAAATTTTCTTAAAATCCATATATAGCCCCGAAATGTTTCCAATTTGACACTATATGTTCCGAATAAAAATTTTTAATAATTTTCGATCATTTGCTCGATGTTATATGGTTTCTTAATTGTTGTTAAATCACCCTGTATACGAAATATTTTGAAATTATACCGATATTGAAAATATGACAAGAATTATGGCTGACAATATTAGGGTGACAATGTTCTTAAATAAAATTTTACTTTAATTTTAAATGAATTTCTCGTAAATTAGAATTGTTTTAAGATTCTTCTGATTAAAATTTTCACTTAAATTATAAATTATTAATTATTTGCATTAAATTATTTCCATTTTTCTATTATTTCTTAAATACTTAATTATTTTTTATCTATTTTCCGGTTAAAGGGCGAAAATAAAAGTAATGAATACCTATACAATTATTTCACCTACAAAATAAGCTTCATTAAAATTATATGATGCGAGAAGCTCATTTTTATTGCTATCATAGATCAAAACAAGATCTAAATGTGCCCATAATTATCCACCTTTGAAATTTTAAATTTTTCTTTGTTTTTTTTTTTCCTGGTTTTTTAAATAATAAAATTCCCTTTGTTTTGTCAGTTATGGTTAAAATATTTTCCGTTAAAATTTTAATACTTTTCTTTTCTAACAAAAAAAAAAAAAAAAAAGAGTTATAAACTTTTACTTTTAATTCAAATTTCTTTTCTACCAACAAAATAATTTTGAAATTTAAAGTTTTTCATTGAGAAACGATCATTATGAATTTTTTTTTATTTCTTTCTTTATCGATCGCACACATACGTTAAACTGTGGTCATCATTTTTATTTTGAATTTTTTATATCCATACGAACGTATGTTCGAAGAATATACTAAATCTGTTTTACCGTTTGTAACGCTAAGAAATAATGCTCTGAGATATAGACTCAAGTGTATGTTTTTGATCAGCGTCGAATTCTGAGTTGATTTAGCTTTGTCTGTCCAGGCGTCCGTTCGTCGATCCCAACGATAACTCAAAAACTAATTGGGCTAAGTTCACCAAATTTATTTATTGTAGTAAGTGCCGGAATCCTATTTAAATTGGACATGATCGGGGTACCGGCTCGGGTAGCTGCCATACAACTTCAAAATTTATTTGGGTATATCTCAAAAACCGGAAAAGCTATGGTATTGAAGTTTCACGCAAGTGAATATATTAGTAGGGCCGATGTGCTTGACAAAAATCGTTGAAATTGTTTGGTACCTGCCATACAACTTCAAAAATTATTTGGCTATATCTCAACTTCATTTTGCACATAGTATTTTGAAGAACACAGTACTAAAATTTTGCATAAATTAATATGGTAATACGGCAACTTAAAGTCATAGTCTGTCCCATAGTCAGTTATGGCATCTTTATTCGCACATAGGATAACAAATTCGTACGGGTATTACAGAGTTGACAAGGTCAACTCTATTTTTTTCGTTTTATCTATGAATTACCGAAATCATCCAAAACGAAAAACTTGTTTTTTCGATATTATCTTAAGTAGGTGGAAAGTTATTTATTATGTAGCTCTTTATAGCTTACTTTTCTTTTCTAATTATTTATATTTTGGTTTGATTTGAGCGCCAATTTATTAAGCATATTTTAAAGATTCCATTACATTTTTTATTTATTTATTCCATTGTTAATATTTTCAAAGCTCTAAATCTGATAAAAATCTCTAACTAATTTTCTAATCACATTATTATAAAGTTTGATCAAGTGATTTCGAATATTAATAAAAATAAACACAAATATGTAGGAATTATAGAAAGCAATAGAAAAAGCAAAAAAAAAAATTTTATAGGTTAAAAATTATTAAGCATTTAAATCAAGTTAAAATCTCGAAAAGTAAAATTTATAGTGTACTTAAATCTTAAATTTTCAAAGTTAATATTATAAGTCATAAAATATCATGTTTTTATTAAGTCAAATTTGTCTATAATTCTGATGAATATAAGATTAATTTTTCGTTGAGGAATTTCACCAAAATTATTTTTTTTTTACCTTATGTAATAAATATATTATGTAGACAGTATTTAATGAATAAAAGTATTTTTCTATTATCTTATTCTATATTAATAAGTTTTTATAATTTGAGAAACTCTTTTGTACAGTAAAATACAGTAGAATCGCTCTAATACAAACTAATGAATATGAAATGGACTGCAGCAAATTAAATATGATTTAGCTCGTTCATATATGGCAAATATCAACAGTTTATTCGACATTTTTACCATATGTTAGCCCGGAAGACCGAAAATGACATTTGACTATTAAATTTCAAGTCATTATATCAGCATTCCAATTCAAGTAAGTAATTTGAGTGAGACCGGATTTAAGTCAATTAACATTTACATAATATGGAAATAGAATATGCTTCAAGTACTCTTGAAAGCTGCCATGTATAAACATGGATAAATGTTTTGTTATACATTTTTGTTAAATGAAAAGCATAATTTTACAATAAGAAATTGTAAAAAATACTGAAATTTTAAAAAATTTAATTTACATATTTTGTTCTTCGCGAACTATCATCCAATAAATATTTGTATTTTTGTCGTGTCACAGGTTGATATAAACGAGCGTTAGAATATATAAGAGTGATTCTACTGTATATGTAATTGTAATATACGTATTTATTGTGTTTCATATAATATTTTATGTATAAAAATATTATTATTTATTAAAAATATTTTGAGTTTTATCATAATATGATTTTTATGTATTGTACAACTATTTAAATAAAAATATTAAATATTTAATTTTTTATTATTTTCATTTTCTCTTTTTTAGTCAAAGAATTCCTCTTTATAATATGTATGTGAATTCATAAATATGTATATATCACCTGCTGTTGATCATTATTATTAAATTGAGCTAAAAATTGTGATTGCTGATATGGAACATTTCCTCTATTTGTTGATATCTTTTGTGGAATAAAACCGGAATTTCCATTTGGACGGACACCTCTTAAAATTGATGATGATGATGATAAAGATGGTGATGTTAATGATTGACCAGATGATGGAAATAAATTAATTTTTCTTGATAGATTTCCATTACCAAAAGGTCTTGGTTGATCATAAAATTCAGGAGATTTAGTAGGCTATTAAATAAAAAAAAAAAATAAATAAAGAAAAAGAAGAAAATGAAGATTAAGAAATGAAAAAAAAAATATGTTAAATAGTTTTTAGTAAGAAAATTAAATATTTTTTAATAATTTTGTTAAAAATAGTGAAAAAAAGAAATTTAAATAATATTATTAGTTTTTCGAAATTTTTAAGATTTTTCCATCTTAGCACATTAAGTACCTATTAATACATGTGTATATTTAGATAAGAAAAAGTACCTGTTATTGTTAAGTACCTAGTCAGGGAAATTTAATAATATGCTATATAGATAAGACAATTTAAGATATCAGTATTGTTAACACTAATTATTAAAATTTTAAAAATCTTCGGTATTAAGATTAATTGGCACAATTAATTTTTCAATTCAGTTCAATTTTATTTTAGTTTTATTTAATTAATTTCTTGCATGAAGTACTTATGTATACTCAACTTAAAAGCGGAATTTGAGAAATTTTCAAATGAAAATCTTTTCGATTTTTAAAAATTTTGTTTTAAGCAAAAAACTTTAAGGGATTTTAAATTTAAAATTGGCAATTTTTAGTAAAGAACACCTTCCATAATTTTATTTTCATTATTGATTTAATTTAATATTGTTAGAGCTAGCAACACTTTTTAAACTGTTTTCTTTTATATAATCGTATGTAATAATAATGTTAATGCCATGTAATTTTGATCATATGTACATGCATTTTTAGATCTAGATCCACTTTATATCCATAATGTATTATATATGTACAATATTACCGTTTTTTTAAAACAAATATATTCAATAATATTCTATCGTATATGCAAAAATATGCAAAAAAAATTTAAAAAATTTTAAAACTAAAAGAAAAATATTTCAATCACGATTTTAACTTTCTTCAAAATTTAATTTAATTGAATCGTGTTAGGGTTTTACTTTCGGCAATATAAAATTGAATATATATGTATATACATACATATATAATAAATAATAAGATGAAATTTGATCGTGAACTGAATTTGAATATTAATATGATTATTCGCTTTGTTTCTCCCTATGTATAGTATATTATGTACTATATAATTGGTATATGAGCGCCCATAGTATACAGTGATGACAATAAAAATCGATGTTTTGCTATTTTGCAAAAATAATTTCATATTTTGAGATTTGACTCGAAAATTCCTAATCTAATTAAATTTAAAATAAAAAGAAAAAGTGAAATTTTCAAATTATAAAATTATTTCAATAATTTTTTTTGTATATTATGAAAGATTTAAGAAATTGCAACCAATTATATGATTATATATATCGATTAAATTGATAATTTAAGTATAATTGAAATTGTTTCCAATTAGAAAATGAATATTGTAATAATAATTTAAGTATAATTTAATATAAAATTTATTTGAAATTTAAATTTTAGAGAAATTATGTTTTTTTCGCTTTTGTTTAAATTAATAGATCATGAGCGCTGATTATGTATGTATCTAGAATGCATGTATATTTAACATTATTTTTATATATTTTTAAGTTTATATCAAAATTATTTTATAATAATATTTAATTTTAGGAAAAATTTAATTTATTTTAAGATAATGGAGGATAATAATTGATTAATATTGTATAATTTAGTAGATAACCCAGAATACTTATATTTTATTTAAGTAAAACTATAGTATAACTTTACTTTTCAATAAAATTAGGATATATACTCAGTATACATTATCAAAACAAATGAGTTAAGTCATTACTTACTTACAAATATACTAACATATATACGAAATTTTTTGTAAAGTTTAATTTTAAATTTGTTATAGAAAAAATTATTAAAGCAAAATTTACGGTATTAAACTAGAATTGCTATTAATCCTATTTTTCGATTTTTTGTTCTCCATTAACTCAAGCTCTTGTGATTTAGATTTAGTTTTATATTTTAAATTTTAAATTTTTTGACCTAGCAATCTACGTTACATAAATTTGAATTTTTTAATTCTCGCAATTCTATAAAATAATCTTTTAAAAATAATTTAAGAAAATTGATTATTATTTAAAAACCATAAAGTTATATATAGTCTGGGATTCACTTGTTTCTTACTATATATAAAATAATTTACAGATTAATCTAAAATCTTGTTATCTTTTTATCATAATTATATATATATATTTATGTAATTAATTATATAAAATATAATAAAGTGTAATAATATAAGAATCTACACTTAGTTAACTATTTCGTGAGCTTCATTATATTCCATAAATCTTATTTTTTTTTTTATAATTTTTGTCACCTTGTTAACGTGAATCTTTATATACTACTATTTGAATTTTTACCGTTTTTTAATTAATTTTATTATATTTTTTTTTTGTCATTGATTAAGTACATTTTATATAAATTTTAATAATTATGTTCATATAAATGTATAAAGGTGTATAGTTAAATATAAGATAATAATATAATATTGTAAGCAATTGAGTTCTAACACTTATTTTACAATAATTTAGTTTAAATTTTAAGTATATAAGACATAATAATAAATGTGCATTATTATAAAATATTATTTAGAAATAAGATACTTTTATTTATATAGAAAAAAATAATTTTTAGGAATGTAGAATTTTAGATTTTATTTCTATTATTAAGATCGCATGATTGTGTTTCTATTGTGTTGCATATGTTTTAATCTATTATGTAAATTAGTTATAATTTATAATTCTAAGAATTGTATTTACTTTATATATAGTTTATAACCCTTAAATATCTTAATTTCACATATTATATACTCTCTTTTAAGTATTTCACATAATTGAATACAAATGATATAAGCTAATTACGTGCATATAAAAGCACCTATATTTTTAGTAATGAAAAAAAAATCACTACTACTTTTAACCTTTAATTAATTTTAAAAGTTAAAATTCAATTTTATGACTTTTATTGCTATATATTGCTTTGCATATACTTAAATACGTTTTTATACCCGTACGAACGTATGTTCGAAGGGTATACTAAATTTGCCTTACCGTTTGTAACGCTAAGAAATAAAGTTCTTAGATATAGACTCAAGTGTATGTTTTTGATCAGCGTCGAATTCTGAGTTGATTTAGCTTTGTCTGTCCAGGCGTCCGTTCGTCGATCCCAACGATAACTCAAAAACTTATTTGTTCTAAGTTCACCAAATTTATTTATTGTAGTAAGTGCCGGAATCCTATTTAAATTGGACATGATCGGGGTACCGGCTCGGGTAGCTGCCATACAACTTCAAAATTTATTTGGGTATATCTCAAAAACTGTAAAAGCTATGGTATTGAAGTTTCACACAAGTGAATATATTAGTAGGGCCGATGTGCTTGACAAAAATCGTTGAAATTGCTTGGCTCATTTTGGTACCTGCCATACAACTTCAAAAATTATTTGGCTTTATCTCAACTTCATTTTGCACATAGTATTTTGAAGAACACAGTACTAAAATTTTGCATAAATTAATATGGTAATACGGCAACTTAAAGTCATAGTCTGTCCCATAGTCAGTTATAGCATATTTATTCTGACATAGGATAACAAATTCGTACGGGTATCACAGAGTTGACAAGGTCAACTCTATTTTTTCTCGTTTTTTATATTTTTATTTTTTTTTTGGTTGGCCTAATTCTTAATATGGAACTGGCATCCATTGTATATTTAGGTTTTCCTATATTTATTTTCTTTTTTTATTATTTTCGTTTTAATTCGGCTAATTCAAAAATTTTGTAACATTTCATTAGAAAAATGTGGAATAAAAAGTGTAAAAGTTAAAAACATTTTGTGTACGCAATTTAATAAATTTGTTACGGTGTTAAAAATATTTTCATTTTTATATTGACTTTAATTTAAATGCATAATACGAGTATGTTTGTATGGTATGGTTATTGTAGGTATATTTGTATATGAGGAATTTGTGAGAAAAGAGATCATTGTCCCCTAAAACAGAATTGGTGTTGAACGTGATTAGATTGATTTTTATTCAATTTAAACATGAGGCAGAGGGAGAGGGGGAGGCAAAAGGTGGAGAGCCATAGCAATTGAAAAAATATGGTGTTGTTTTGTTTTTTTTTTTTTTCATTTTATTTCCACTATGCGATTATATAATAAAATCAACCTGGTTTTAATTATATTGCAATTTTTCAATTGTAACTCTTGTTATTTTCTTTCATAATAATTGGGTACATTTTAACAGATGAGTGTTATGTTTTTTTTTTCTTGATTTTTTTTTTTCATTGTTGATAATTTCAATTCATTGTTTGTTCATGAAAATGCGAAAAATTATTAAAACATTTTTATTTTATTTTTTTTTTCATATTTTTCATTTTTTTTTTTTAATTTTAATTGCGACAACTGAAATTTTTCATATAGAGCTAGGTATTTATACGCAGAAAGAGAGGGTGTGAATTTTATTTTCCACCCATATTTTGTTAAAAAATTATAAAATTAAATTTTTTTTCACTTTAATATTTATTTCTTTTGATTAATTTATTGATTCACATATATTTTGAGAAATTTTACCAGTTTGGAATTTTTTTTTTTGTGTTAATTTTAATTCTGAATATTTGGAATTTATATAATAAAGAAAATGAGCCCGTGGCCTTGACTTGAGTAATACACAATAATTTATACTCATATGTGACATAACATTTTTGTTTGTTTCGTATTTTAAGGATTTTTTTTTTTTTTAATTTTTTCTAGTTAGTAAATAATTTATTGGTTTTTTTTTTTCTGCAAAGTATAGAAAATTGCAAAATTCTCTTAATTTTTCGGAAATAAGCTATTGTAAATAAAGAATGATTTAAGTAATATGATAAATTAAGACCACACAGGCCAACAATCAATTCGAATTATACATAACAAGATTTAGACAATATTATTAAATAATAATAAAAAAAAAGTAGATCTCGGATCAAATTTTATATAGACGACATATACATACATGCGTACAAATTTTCACAGTTTTTGGTATTGAGAAATTTTTATTTAAGTCTAAAGTAATTTTTCGAAAAATCTGACGAATATTTTTAACAATTGCATAATGATATCACAATGATTATTTATATATGTCAATCAACTAATTATACTAAATTTTAAAATTTGAATTCTAGAACAACAGTGTCGATAATTTCGAAAAACAAGCAGTTGACTGTTTTAGATTTGAATTTCCTACACATATACGAGTACACAAATAAAATAATTTATATAGTTTTTACAAATAGATCTTGTGCTAATTTCAAATTATACAACATATTTTATTTTTTTATAAAAATTCTAATATTTGCTTAAGAATTGTAGTATAATATACATATGTGTGTATAGTATATGCATTAGGTGTGTTTTTGCAAGTGTATAACAATTATGAATATTTAACAAATCATATTTCTTAAAATCGTTTATACAAATGTGTATGCAAAGAAAAGTGCAGCATCTTAACGCACTATATGCTAAGACTTAGCAGCTAAGTCATATCACAAAAAATTCTAGTGAGTATTTAGGTATTTACCCTTACAAATTAATTGTTATATTCTTAACTCTCATATAAAATATTCATTACATTACGCGTAAAATATTCTATGTGACCATGAAAGCATTTTAAAAGAAAATATTTAAAAAATCAATTTTTACTCATAAAATACCCGATATAAATTTTTTTTTAAAAAAAAATCCCGAAATCAATTTTATTTAATTTCAGTGAACAAGAATTTTTTTTGTGCTAATATTAATTTTTGCGGTTAAGAAAAATTATAAAGGCGAAAGATGATTATGACCATATTTTACACATTTTTTTTTTCTTTTTTCAATTATATTTTTATTTTTTTTAATTTTTTAGTAAATTTAAGTTGATTAGTTGAAAGTTATTTTAAAAGTGCATATTATACAAAAGGTCACATACTTTAAATTTTGAATAAAAACAAAGATAAAATATTTTGCTTAAAAATAATAAAAATGATTCATAATTAAAATTTATTTTACTTATAATTTTTTATTAAAATTTATTATAAATAATTTTCTTAAAAAAAAATCAATGAAAATTTATTTGATTCATGAACAAAATCTTAACAAAATTGATATTGAAAGAGAAATTTTTTTATAAACTTGAACGATTTATGAAAAATCAAAAGAAAAAATTTTTTCTCTGGCTTATAAGGTATTGTCTCCTACTAATTGGTATACAAATTTTATTAAATTATTTGATATTTAAATTTAATTTAGAATAATTATAATAAAATATAACGAGTTTGTGTTGATTTCTGTGATTTAAGGCAAAAAACCAAATTCTGGTGTTAAAAATTCAATAAATAAAATATTAGCACCGTTTATTGTGCCAAACAATATCCTATACGCTTATAACAAATGTGATTTTTTTAAAAGACACTGAACTCTTACCATACGAAAACAAAGAATTTTATAAAATTTTTTCAGGCTCAACTCACAACAATTTCTTCGCCTTTATCTATAATATTTAGAAATACATTTTCTGTGCTATAAGGACTAGATATAGAATAAATAAACCTTGGAATATCATGTATTTTTATAAATTTCTATAAAATGGGGGTTTTAGTTTATTCAGTTCTAGAATAATTCTAACTTGTAGTACGTTCGAAAAATCACGCTACACACACTAAAAATATAAATCGTTCGGAAATTACTGGCTGCAATAAAGTGCTTTCGAAAATTCTATCTACAATAAAGAAATGTTAGAAATGTAACGCAGACCTCTAGTATAAATTTTGCCGCTGCTTCATAAAATTTTTTTTTTTCTTTTTTAATTTAAAATTCAAAAAAAAAAATTTAAATTTCAAAATGGCAGATTCAGATATTGAAGGGTATTAAAGTAAGTTTTCTTTAAGTCTTCAAATCTTGTTGAAATTTCCTTATTTTGCAATGAATTGGAAGACGAAAAGTATTTGGGATATCATTTCATAAACAATAAGATTTATGTTATTCTCGAACGATAGATTGTTTAGAAGTTTCAGAATTTCTAGACTGCGTAAACAAAAAAAGTTTAGCTAAAGTTTTTGCATATACTGTTTAACACTGCAACTTAGAAATTTTAGTTCTAAATTAGAATTTTCAGCGCAGCGTGCATAAACGAAAACCCCCTATCCTTATTTAAAAAACCTTATATCTGGTATACAAAAAAAAAAGTACACTTATCTTTCGAAACATTTATAACTGGCATGAAAACTTTCATCATTGCCATAGTATTTCGTTACTGCACTATATATATTTTGGGTATATATAAAATTATATTAAAAATAACAAAATTTCTGAATTTTAATTGAATTAATTATAAAAATTACATAACATTGCATCAAATTCATTCCAAAATATTTAAATTTAAGTTTATCTAACGCGTCATCTGCACTAATTTACATTATGGTATATATATAGATAATTGGTTTGTACATAATATACCGAGCAACTTATCATATAGTCGTGATCACGCTTCTTCTTAAATAAAAATAAATTGTAAATATTTATTTTAATTTTTGAATTTTAAAATCATTTTTTTTTTTCCTAATTTTACTTTTGTTGTTATTGTAATGGTCTAATGATGCTGGGTTTAATTATTTTAATTTATAAAGGTATTAAACTTTTATAAAAACACTTATTGCAATAATTATATATACATTTTGTATATATGTATGTATGTATTGAAGAATTGATATTAAATCAAGTTAACTGACCTATAACTGCTGGGTAAATGCAAACTTTATTAAAATTGAATTAATTTTTTTTTTTATTTTTTTTAAAGGAGTTCTTGTTTTCTTTTTTACTTTTTGTATACTTTGTATTCTTCTCACATTCAGAGTTTTCTATTGAACTTATAAGTGTTTAGATTTTTAAAATTATGTGTATATGGATTTATATGAAAAGTATATCAAGGTTAAAATTACAAGATAAATTCAATCATAAAAAATATTTTGTTGTTTTATTATGAATTCAATTTCAATTTAATGCTGTGAATGGAAGAATGAAGCGAAAAAAAATAAATTGTATGTACAAGCAAAAAGAAGTACACAAGAAATGCGCCTTCCATATTTCATTCATCTCGTTATACGAAAAGTTGTTAATGAATTTTTAAAAAATAATAATTACGAAATAAATATTTGTAAAAATATTTATTAGTTTGCATTTTAATTTCGAAATTTAAATGAAATTAATTTCTTAAAATTGATATTAATTCTATAAAATATTATAGAATTTTTGATGAAAACATTAATGAGCTACTTAAATAGTTTTGGGTATATGCCTTGGTTTATATTCAAATACATTCATTCTATATAGTATTTCATATAAAAATACCCATTCTATAGTAGTTAGGGCCCCTTTGACTTTATAATTTAATATTCCATATATTTTTTTTTATGTCATTTATCGTATTTTCCATGATCTCATAAAAACGAATATTCGCATCTAAAGAAAAAATTTATTTATTTTCTATATATAGCTTATTTAACTTACGAGAACACCAGAATCTCCATCAGTATTAATTGAAATTCCTTGTTGATCTGAAACACTATTTCCATTTAAATTTGTTGATCCAGATGTTGGAAAAACATTATTTCTAATTGAACTTTCTCTTTGGAGTCTTGCTAATGCTGGAGGTATAAAACGTTGGTTAGATAATGGTTGATAAAAATTTGGATTTTCTGAAAAGAAAAAAGAAAATTTCAAATTTATTATAATTTTAAACATTAATAATAAATTTTAAAAATTAAATAAATAAATAAATTAATCGGGCATTTGCAGTTCAATGACCCAAAACTTTATACCAAATCAATTTGAATTGAATACCGTTTTACAAAAAAGTAATTACATAAATTTAAAAGAATGCAAAAACTAACTAAAAATTGTTAAAAATTCTAGAATTTCAAGGTTTTTTGGTATTTAAACGATTATGCAATTAAAAATTAAAACACCTCGTTCTTTATTGTGTCATCTCGATTTTTTTTTTTCAAATTACCGTGCATAATAATGCAGTCACACATACATACATATGTATATACGTTCTCGAAACCATATGTAGATTCATAAATATGTATATAAGCAAATTGTCATCCGATGACGTACGCCTTACATCGCATATATCATTTATTTTGCACCATCAACCTTCATATAATTTTGGTATCGTCGGTAAGTTTTTAAATCAGGTTCTTCTGAAAACGCAGTATGCGTACGCATTTCTAACTTAAAACTAAAAAAACTTTTTCGCATTGATTGACAACTGCAAAAAACTGTCATTTGTTTTGTCGTAGTAAAAAAGTTCTTGCAAATCTTTATCTAAGTCATATTTGAAAATGCAGTTCTACCAATAGTACAAAATTGAAGTTGTTATTTTTTAGACATAAAAAATGGATTTAAGGAAAAAATTAATTAAAAATTATAAATTCGAATATCTTACAGAAGCAAATCGAGATAAGAGTTTAAACTTACGCTAATAAATCTTCTATATCATCATCGTCCATCTTGCTTAATATTCAATTTAAGTTAGCGCAGTTAGAAAATTAAAAATGCGATGTTGCGTGAAGTTTCTGAAATATCTTAATTGCAGTTGTAGTTTTCAAAATGGCTGCTACTGCAGTTCTGAATTTTTAAAAACACTGCTTTGTAGTTGAAGCAGTTCTTATTAAACAAATGTGCTGCAATTTAGTACTAAGTTAGAACTGCATTTTCAGAAAGACCTATCAACTTCATGTACATAAGAAGATCCAAAAATATAACATCTTTATATATACATACAATTTTTTTTTTTTTTGATATTCACACACTTGATGGTGTAAATTCGTGAAATATATTATTTGTGAATGACATTCTTATCGTTTTTTTTCACTATTTTATTATTTTTCTGATTCCTTTTTTTTTTTTGTCATTTCGATTGTAGTTAAAAAATCTTTTAAAATTAAAGAATTTTTATTCAAAATCGTGTTGATATTTCGCTACTTTTACGATACAAATTTGATCTTTTATATACTATAATAATCTTAACAATAATAGTTTGTAAATATACTGTATATAAAGGTAATAATAATGATGACGCGATGATAATGATGAAAATGATGATATTAAATGATAACAATGACTTTAAATGATGAAGATATTATATTATGACGATATGGTGCAACACCGAGCCCAAGAAAAATCTAAATAAAAATATCTATGGAAAAATACTTAAAAAAAAAATTAATAATAAAAATGTGCTTAAATATTTTCGTATAGTGCAGAGGCGGAGTGGCGATAGTAACCCATAAAAATTTTAAATATATATATAATATATAATATTTATATATATGTATATTATGGTATGTTCGTACAATTAAGACAAGAAATTAGTATTAGAAAACATATACATATATAGAATTGCATAATAGCGGTAAAAAAATCTATTTATTTTGCATTCATTTTTAAAAGGTGCCTTTTATTTTTTTTTCTACATTTTTATATGTATAACATTTATTTATATATATATAAATATATATATATATATATAAATAAATATATATATATATATATATATATATATATATATATATATATATATATATATATATATCATTTTAACTTTCTATTTCATTTTACATAAACTTAAGAATATATTTTATTTAGTTATACTTAGGTATAATGTTATTTTAAAAATTTGTATATGAATTTGTGTTTAATATTTTAACATAAAAATATGCAATTATTTTTGATGCATTCACTCGCAATACATATACAATATAAATCAATTGTTAAAGTAAATTATGTTACGAATATATTTAATTTAAAACAAATTATTTAGCATAATATATAGTGATATATATGTATATACATATGTATATATATATATTAATAAATAAGATGTATAAAAATAAGAATTTAATTGAAAGTATTTATTATACTATAAAACAATTAATGTCTGCTATAATGTCTATTAATTGTCTACGATGAGACATACATTTGTACGTACGTGTTTTGAGTATACAAAAGAATTTTGAGTGTAAAAATAAATTATTATAAATAGACTTAAAAATATATGTATATATTTATACATTTTTTATAAGTATATACATTTTTTATAAAAGCTTATTGAATTATTTAAAAAATTTTTATTTAATTTTAGAAGAATTTATTTATTTAATTTCATCTTCTTGTACTTTCAATTTTTAAAATATTTTAAAAAAATTGGTATATACTTGCATAGCAATTGTATGTATGTATATTGCAATGCATAAATATAACATTAATTATAATAGTAAATAATGCATTATAGATTCTGTTAAAGAGAACTTGAAGATGGTTTTAAATTTTTATTTTAAGAAAAAATTTTCAAATGAAAATATTTTGATAAGTTTTAAATTTTGATTGTTTTATGTATAAATTAACGAACCTATAGTTACGCCGCACGACACTGTTTTCCGAATAAATTAAAATTTCCAAATTGTTTCATATACGTAACAAGAAATTTAAGCATGGTGGCAAATAATGTCAACCTTATTATTTTAATAACTAATTTAATTAATAATCATTATTATACAGACAGGATTTTAAATACATATGTAGGTTAATACTTATTTATTTTTATTACATTATTATTTATTTATTTAAAATATAATTTTCAATAATAAATTTATTCGTTTTATTCCCTTATATTTTCATTCAAAGAACATGAATGTAAACAATGTACCATAAACTTTTCACAGTTCTAAACATTTGTATTCTATTTTTATTTTCATGATAACATTCTTAAAACATTTTAAATATTCAGCAACATTGCCGTATGTATATAAACATTATAATCAGCAACAATATTGATATTATTGCTGAAATTTCTTTAAATCATTTGTATATTAATTTTATATATTTGTTTGGTGTAGTGGTTAAATTTATGCGTCATAATCAAATGTTCTTTTGGGTACTTGAGTTCAAATCCTGACTGAGTCAGTTTTTTTCACGTAAAAAAAAAATGGCTTTATTTATTATGTAAAAAGGTCAAAAAAAAAATTCGCCTGGTTTTTCCAATGGGCAGTAATTTATGCGTCATTTAGAGCAAAAATTCTCAATCGAATCAGGCTAAATAAAATCGTTCATTTCATTGCCGTATCTTGATAATTTCATAATTATTTCCCGGATTATTGAGATCCAGATGATGAATACAATTTTTTTTTTCATTTTTTACTTATAATGATATTGAATTTTCATTATTAAATTTGTAAAATCAAGTAGATGATGATTTTTTTTTTGAAAAATTTCGTAATAGGTGCGCAACTAACATATATGTACATATGTGGTTACATTATTAATAATTATTTGACTGATGACGCAACTCTCACGTACACTAACCAAAATTTATTTGATTTAGAAACATTGATTTGAAACAAATTCAAAAATACAACCGCTTTTACGCGTCAAAAAAAAACCGCTCAGTCAAAAAAATATCTTAATTTTTTGAAAAACAGCGTGAATTGATATTTGGTACGCATTTCTTTTGCTTTAAACAATGCATTTAATCTCCTAGGCATAGATTCAGCCAGTGTTTCTCTTAAATCAGAAGGTATTTTTTGCCATTTTTCTAAAATTACTTGCTTCTAAGAATGGTGCAAGTGTCTAATTTATCTAATAATTTTTATTTCGTTTAATTGTCTTTATAATTGTTTTAGAATTGAATTAGTCTCTAATTTTAAATATTTAAATTTACTAATCCAGTCCAAAACTGCGCTGATCGTACACTCACGATATTTGTGTGGCTATTTCATACAGATTGGTCGAATTATATAAAAAAATCTGATATCATCTAATTTTAATGGTTTATTATGGCCTGTTCCACGCATAGTTGCAATTGTGTGCTGGAGGACGACCTTATTTTATTAAAATCTTTCCTGTATTGGAGGCTCTGAAATAATAAATGGTTACAATAATCTGTAAAAAGAATCGCGTTAACTCATAGCCATGATTTATTTGTCAAGTTGGATGTTCTTCCTGTGAAAAACGTGTTTTGCTATTAAACGCTTAAGGGTTTTTTTTTCTTGAAATCGAGGCATTTTACCATTTGTCGAATCAATTTTTTTTTCTAAATTAGTAATTTTCAGTTTAAGTTAATAACAATAAGTACATATTCCTAAAATATTACTAAAAAAGTATTTCTATAACTATATTGAATAAAAGTTGTCAGAAGGCCAAAAGTGTATACCACGTATAGAGTTAAATAATTGTCTGTGACAAATTACAATATACATACATACATATAATAATGAATTATATGTTATGATATTTGACACAACAATAAATTATCAATATAATAACACTTTCCATTTAAAATGAAAAGAAATCAAAAAATTTATTGTTCAATATAACACTTTCTCTATTTATAAATGCTAAAATATTCAAGTGAAATTTAAAAATTCTTAAGAATTCTCGAATATATTGAGTTTTAATTCTTATATGTAAATTTAGAACAGTTAAAAAGTGGAACACTTGTAAGAAGATAGAATAAAAAATAATATTTATGGCCAATATAAAATATTTAATTATACCATTACTTAATTTGTTAAGTGAACTCAATTTAGAATATAAAATGTAGTCACTTATTTCAATTATTGTTTTGTTAACAGTTTTTTTTAATGCACACACCCCTTATTTTTTTACATTTAACACAAAAACTATAATTAATTATTCAGGCGTATTGAAAATTAAAATAAAATAAGAGAAGAAAAAAAATTTTCAATAAATTTTTTTTTAAGGCCTATGGAAATTCTTTATTATTTTCATTCTTTTTTTTAAATCTATATTCACAACCAATATGAATTTTAATATTCCTTTTGGATTTCCTTTAATTCTTTTTCAATTCTTATTACTGCCGGCTATTTTATAGAATTTTTTATCAGTAAATTTTGATTTATGATCTCTTTTCTTATAGATACTAAATAAACATTAATTGCCTTATTTTCATCCCATGTTCTACTTTATATTTTTTTTATTTTCTTTAAATAGAATTTGAACATTATCATCAAGGTTATTTCGGTATTACTGATGAAATTGAATCATACGTTTACAACAATAAAAATTCATATTACATATACATATGCGTGTATAATATATGTATATTGTTATATTCCAATTAAATTTAAATCAACTAACTTCTGAATTATGGTGAATACCTACATGTAATGCATTTCAACTATAATAATATGTGATATGATTTAAAA